GAGGATGCCGCACAAAGTGGAAGTCTGGGACTGAACTGTTGTGGAAAGGTGTCGCGCCGCGCCCGCTGACATTGTGAAACGGGATGCATGTGGTGGCCGCACAAGGTACATGTGAGTTGAAAGGCGTCAAATTTATCTGAAATCATGTCACTGCCTACCACTTCAGTATACCCCACCATGGTGGATGCATACTGAAGTGGTACGTCCACCCTTGGTGCATATCAATTTCCACATGGAATTGTGGAATCAAAAGTCCGCCACCCCCTCGTGGACCGCTACTATTGGTTCCACCTGCTGAGCAATTAGTCAAGCACATTTTTGATACTCGAATGGAATATTCGGAAAGGAGATCCACATTGGTCACTGGAGATTCAATGGAATGCGCGGGTTGAACCCTCAAACCTACCGCTGGTAGATAATCGTTCCTTCGTTGAAATGATGGAACGCTCTCGTATGTAAGCGATTTGTTGTATCTTAACTGTGAGTTCCAACCTATACGAAGTTGGGATTGATTTTCAGGTAAAACAACGTCCGGCCGAGTGCCACGAGCTCATGCACTGAATACCACCACGCACTAAGGGCCAAGCCCTACAGGTCCTCATCCACAACGCATGCGAGAACCACATGTGTCGATAAGATGGAAATCTCTTTGGCTATCGTTGCTTGGGAGGCTAGGAAAAGATTGAGCGTCGGCATGGGTTTGATTAGGAGCTCATGGTGATTACTGAAAGAACAACATGGTATAATTTCTCCGTGTTCTCGTTGAAATGGGTTCATTGTTCCTCTCTCGAATGGAGGTCTGTCAAAGGCAACTCATAGAATGGGGAGCCCGGCCCCTGACACCCGCTTGTGTGCAGCCATACACTGATCCGTCTGACACCCTATTGCATCTCTGTAACTCGTCCTAGACACGGCCATCTTGCCAAACCCTAGCCTTATCTTCCTCAAAAATGGATGGAAGCTGTCAAAAAGCTTCTCAAAAGAATCAGAGTGGAAGGGCAAATTCACAATTTGGCGCTAATCGTTTTGAATTGGATTGCTTTGCATGCATAATACCATGCTCGTAAGGTAGCTGCGGGAGTCATCTTTGTACCATTTGATGAGAGAAAAATCACTTTCAACTTGCGTAGTATTATGAAATGTATCTGGATCTTTGTAATCTAGCCAAGAAAAGATTCACACTATCAAAACAAACATACTATATATATAAATGAGATAAAAATAAAAAAGTGAAAAAAATAATATAAAATGTACTTGAACACAATGATCAAAATAAACATGCTACGGAAGTGATATGAAAAAAAATATGTAATCTATTTTTCTTACTTTTTCTATTTCTTTGCCCAAACTATTAGTTAGTCCAACTAAGAGTTTGGGCACTTATTCACAAATTCTTGTTAACTTAGAAGAAACACTGAAATTCGCATTCGCTTGCAATCATTCTTACCCTGACTCCCTCCTCCTGGAATTCCTGGCCAAAATCCCATAATTCTCAAAATTATTTACATTATATAGAATTTTGGCCATATTAAATATGGCGTCTAAAAATAGAACTCCGGATTTCAGGAGTCCTGGGTTAGAGACGCTGTGTTCCTCCATAAACTCCGACATATATGAGCTCACCATTACCGCCTCTGAACCATAAAGAGTGGACGCTAAGGCTTTTTCAAGCTCCGGGCGGTCCGCATGACAAAAAAATGTTGCAACGGGTCGGTTCGGACTCTTCAGGCCGACTCTGAAACGACGATAAGCACGACTGATGGCAACGATTGCCTCGTGCTGCCCAATGACACGTTTGTGGAGGATTTTCTTCCATCTTTGGCCATCTTTAGCAACGGGATTTTTCAGTAGATACCGCCTTTGCTTGCAACAAGGTTGTCTTGCCTGCTGCCGAATAAACATTTTCAAAATCTTGTGACAATGAGCAGCTACCACCATACATTGAAAAGATTTCCACAAAATTGATAAAGATTTTGGTATGCGTCATTTGGAGACATGTTAGTATTCGATCAATGTTTGTCAAATTCATCTACTTTAGACTGAACATTCATTTGACTGATGTTCAACTCAATGGATTGAGTTCTTTTTTCCCACGAGTAGATTCCACTGTGAAATTGGACTCTGAACTTTTTCTCTTTTCTCTAATTCTCGGGTCTTCAATAAGAAATGCTCTTTCATAGCATGAGCATCTCGGGAGTTATATATATTAACAACAACCGTAAACTCACTATGCAGAATTTTAACACAACCTGTTCAAAATATCCACCAGTCATTGGAGATGATTGTTCAGTTTATGTGTACTATGATCTCATGCGTTGTACTACGCTCAAACAAAATACATAGAGATAAAATGTGCTCCTACATATATCATCGATCACTATGTAGGCAAAGTGTTTCCAACACTTAACATAAAGCTCTGGGTAGTGCTACATATAAAACAACAATCACATTATGTGTGATGATTTTGTTGTTAGTACACGATTTTAACATCTACATGACACAGTATGGTTCAATCAAGAAGGTGTTATACATTGAAACTTATTTGATGTTGATGTAAGTTCATATTTTTGTATACCATTCAGATTAGATAGTTCAGATATATTATATGTTGCAGAGCTACATATTGTGATACTCTCGGGGGTCTAGCCCTCATCACCATCCTTTTCTATCATCTACTTGAATTTCATAAAAGGCACTTTGGAAGTGTTAATAACGGCTGCAGAAAAGGAGAAGGGATCAGGAGAAAAATGGGTAGACTGTTATATATTTATCCATAAAGTTAACCTTACGACTCATATTTTTGGTCATTTGGTACTCACATTTGGATGTCACGGTGCTTTTGCCTGTAGGGGTACAGATGCTCTAAGCGTAGTGATTCTCTCCTCTCCTTGTCTTCCCTCACAAACATCCACTTCGAGCTCTATCAAAATAGGAAATGAAATAGCTGCAATTCCGTTGGCAGGTTAACAAAAATTGCCAACGAGAACGTTTGGGCGGCATGAGTCCAGAATGTACGATGGGGATGCTGACTTGGACAAGTGGGAATCCTGATCATACATAGTACAGAAGAAGCTGTTGGTCCAAAGGCGAAGGGTACAACGCAGTGCTTTTTGCTGCCTTGTTGTCCATTTGTCGATTTTTGTGCTGCAATCTGTACTTTATTTACGAAGGGAAGACTCATGGAATACACGTCATAACAGTTATATTGAATGGCCCAACTGCCCTTAACAATCACTATGGTTTCCATCTCTATTTTACGGCTTAATCATGGGATAGCAAACCTCAAATCTTTATGTCCGTCCCTATGATATTTGATGGGTCTATGAGAGGTCCTAGTAAACATTCTCGTATTATTTTATTATTCTCTTCCCAGCTTTACCACAGCGTAGTGAATGGTGGTAAGTAAGGGTGGAACGATTGAAGCATCAACATTGGAAACCATCAGGACTGTGCTATCATCGCATTCCATATAGCGCAGTGACAACAACAATCTCTGTGGATAACTGTCAAAAAATTAAGTTCGATAAATTATTTGAGAATCCACATAAGGACCTAAAATATAACTTCCTGTAGTTCGAAAACAGTTCCCCAACAAAATTCGTCAACCTGAGAATTTTCAAAGTTTGTTCATGTTTGACCTCTTCTCCTCCAAGGTTTGTTTCCTTACAATCGCCCTTACTGAGCGCGTTCTCTGTTGAGCCTGATCAACATCTAGCTCAGCAGAGGGAGTGAAATTTACCGGAGGGGATGATTCTCTATCTGGATCAAGTGGGGAATCCTTCCAGTATCAATGGTAAATGCTATCCGATCAGCTTCACGTGTGAAACTGTGAGATACCCTTTTCATGAGACGGCATGACATGAGACATAACTTTCTTTGACTTATTTTGCAATCTACATTGCTTAACAGAGATCACTGGCGAGTGATCTAATATAAAGAGCAATGACTTTTTATGATGATGATTATTCCATTAACCTAGCTAGTTCCACATATCTAGTGATGTAATATATGTATTTCTTTTCTATTTACCTAGTAAGTTCCATATATCAAGTGATGTATTATGTATTTCTTTTTTATTACCTAGCTAATTTCATATATCAGGTGATGTTATATATATTATTTATTTTCTATTCACAAAGTTAATTCCATATATTAAGTGATGTATTATATATATCTTTTTTATTTACCTAGCTAATTCCATATATCAGGTGATGTGTTATATATAGATATATATATTTTTTCGTGATACTTTTGGATCCATCTGACCACTTATACTTATTCCTTCTGCTGTTTGCCCTGTAAAATCGGCCCGCTAATCAAATCGAAGCCCACTTCAAAAATCCATGCTTCCTCACAGAACAAGCTCTGTAGCCTGGTGCACGGAGAAATGAACGATGGCCGACAAATGCCAAGAGACAAAAGTCTGCGGTCTTCTCAAGAACGACTGGGATCTCGGAGGACAATGGACTCGTGGCAAGGAAAGTGGTACGGAGCTCGGCAAGCCCGAGTCGACAAAGCAGTTCACGAGAATGGAGTGAGGACTCTCGAGGCGATGAGAGAGAGATGACAACTCCTGGTACTGTCTGTCTGCCTGTGCTGACTGGGCTGAGCAAGACGGCAGGACGGACAGCCCCAGCTGAGTAAGGCTCCGCTGCTGCTGACGCACCAGAGTCGCTCCTCCAAAGTGGGAACAGCTTGCCATGCGCAAATCCTTAACGTTGCAGTATTGTATTGTCTGGCCTCTGATCCGACCCACTTGATCCAATCCGATCCGCCACAAAGTTGTATTTCCTCCTCCTCCTCCTCCTACTACTACTACTAGTACAACGGCTCTGTCGACGGCAGTTGGCGAGGCGAGGCGAGGCGAGGCTTTGGCTGTTGCTGACTATGCAAAGCTGGGGATACATTAAATTAACAGCTTCGTGTTTTATCCTCCCGAGCTTGTCTGCTCTCTCGTGCGGTGCGCTGCGCATATAACTTCGGTGATGGACGAGGAGGCTTTATCACAAGCAGCCAGTGAGCAATTGCATTTCAGAAACGACGAGTGTCGAATGCGAGATTGGAGTGACGATCGAGTAGGAAAAGGAGAAATCGAGCGTGACGAGGGTTGAGATTGTGTGGTGGCCGCGGTCGGGCGATTTGAGAAGCCGGGGGTAGAGTTTTCCAGCCGTATGCGATTTGAGTTTGCACGTATCGATCGAGGAATTGGATTGAAGCGGAATTGGATTTCGGGCGTTGCTGTGAGTCGTTGCAGAGTATCAATTTCTGTGCGTTCGCGCGTCACATCCTGCAATCATGTGTCAAAGTTATACGACGCAGCGGGTGCATAGGCCCAATTTGAAGGCGGTCATGACCCAGGTCTTCGCCAAACCTGCCCCAGTTGCTGCTGCCTCCGAGACGTCCCCTGCGCCTCCTGCTAATGCTGCACAAACAGATCGACCAAGCGTGCCCCCAACTCCTCCTACTCCACAGAAGCCCCGAACGCCGGGAACTTCCGTGGAATCGGAATGCTCTGTCATACCAGCATGGAAGCTGTTCGCTGCGGGTGAGCATTCCCATCCATCCGTGCCATCGGGCTCGAGAACCTGGCCTCAAAGACCCTGTTGTTCATGTGTGTGTATAGATATAAATTTGTGGGTGGGGGGTATGGATTTTTCTTTGGGTCAACTGATCACTAGTTTGTGGGAAACTGGAGAGGCGCAATCATCCCATTCGATTCTATTCTCTTGTTCCCATTCCGATTTCTTGTTTCTGACCACAGCTGCGTTGTTCTGAATTGGCAGACTGGTAATCAGTAAACAGCACGAGGCACCGGACAGACTTGGAGAGCATGACACGTGACTGTGAACAGGCTACACCGCCTGGCTGGCTTATCTCGCCGAGATTTGGGATTCGGTTGAGGAGCTGATGGTGGAAGGCCAGTAATATCTTTTGTACAGTTGAAGAATGGGTGTGGACTTGCGACGAGAAGCTGGTATCATCTTAGGAGATTCAGAATCGAGGATGCATATCGATGCAGAATAACTGCAGACCACAGGCGAATGCTACAATGCGCAAGGAGTGGAAGTCACTAAGTTTGAATATCATTCGACTAGAGCTGACAACGAGATCAGATCCGAACCTCCAGCTAGTTTTGTAGATAATGACTTTGAACTCCTAGATTCTGTTCTAAATTCATGAAGTTCAGCACATTCCAGCTCCATCTGAGACTTGCTCTCCATGAACGTAGAACATAACCTGTATCAGTATCGTACCTTGCGGATCATATTTGAAGGTGTAGTTTAGACTTGGTGATTAAATCAGATTCTCATGTTCGGCGCTCAGTTGAGTATCGAGAAAGAAATGAGATTTTATGAAGAAAACGCGTTCTACTTTTCTCCGAACTAGAAAGGAAACATGTTGAGAAGATGAATGGTAGTCAATGATGGTGTGGAACATTTTGTTCTCACGAGACCTCGAAAGTACTGAGAAGTAGCTCAATTCGATTGCACTTTGATGGGAGCTGCCGAGTGATACAATAAATCCCCATGAGAAACCTGAGGGTGACAGAATTAGAACGTAGTGCCGGTGACAGCAGTACTATCGCTGAATCCGGAGGCAGCGATAAAAAAAAGGATGCAATAGTTCAGTCGGATTAGCTCTCGTCAAAGCTTTTCTTCTACAAAGGCGATTCCCAGGAAACTGCTAGCTTATTGCTGGAAACGCCCAATACTACCGGAGAGCAATCAGGTTGATGACTCTTGGGATACACTATCGTTTGTAGAGAGTTTGACTCATTGAAATCGGATTTCTCACGTGAATGATTACAAATTCCCCATGGGATCGCAATTGGGGCCCAGCCCAAAGTTAACCCTGATGGGATGTCCATCCTTTTGTTTATTGAAAACCAACATTTTACGTTCTAAACTAGTAAATTTTCAGTTTTGTTCGGTGTTTTGTGAGTATTTTTACAATAGTGCGGACGAAATAGCGGTTCTGGAACACGCGCAATATTTTATGGCAGTAGCATAACCGGTTTGACAAGGTTATGGTAGGATAGCTTTCGGGTTCCATAAAAGTTGCCCCAAGTAATATATCGGCAAGGGAACAAACTGACTGCAATTTTGTTCTTCCACAAATTTTCGATTTTTTCCCGAATTGTGTTGTATTGTGAAGAAAAAGGATATGGGGACCAGATCAATAACCTGCAAACATTTTTTTTAGATAATGGAATTTAGTCTACGGAGAAATTTCCATTCCCGTGGATTTATTATGTATCTATTTTGAATTCCCCTGCTTTGGCTGTAGTAGGCAGTTCCGAGACTTGTTATCCGAGTGGCAACATGGTTCTTACGAGTTCTTAAATCCTGAGACCCGCTATTAAAAAAAGTCTTTACATATAGAATAACTGAACTCTCCGAAGATGTGATTTAACGAGAGAATGTCTTCGCTGAAACAACTGAAATGTAATTTCACAAATAAACCGTCACTTCACCATCACTCAAGGATTGCTAAACTAAACTGAGTATCTGAGGTCACACATCTTGGACCATCAGACCAACTGAATATTCGTCGATCGACCCACCTGATCCCGAAGCTATTGCTGCCTTCACCAAGAGCAACAAAAACATCCAACATTTCTGAACCTCCATCACGTGAAAACTAACATTCCACTCCCAAGTCATCTACTTTCTTGACATCAAAATGAGTGGCAAGGAACTTCTTCATAGCTAGTGCAGACAGCCGACGCCACAGGAGTATGCTAAGAGACTGTTCTCACGGAATTAGAGTGAAGCTTCAAGCTCATGGGGGTTAGAGTATGAACCATGAGGAAGTCAAGGAGTAGTTTGCAATAGCTATATGAGTATATAATTATAAAGAACCACACGACAGAAGTTTTGCTAATCTTGATGGAGAGAGAACCAAGGGCCCAACTTCTCATAATAACTTCATTCACACCCAAGCGTTTAAAATCCAGGCAGATTGTTTCCTTCATGTCATGATTCTTAACTATGTGACTTCTGTAGGAAATATGTGCATCTGAAACAGATTTTGCCAAATCTGAGGTATTAGATTTTGTGAATACATTGTAGTCGTCTTCCATCTTGAGTTGCGCCTCTTTGTCCGATTCAAGACGAAGATTCAAGAATGTGGTCCGAAGCGCCATAGACATTCGCATGTCAATTGGGTACGGATCTCAGATGATAATGACTGTGTAAACACTCGTTTCATGAAGTCAAGGACAATGACCATCTTTTACTTACTTGATTGCAACAACAACAGCGGGATTGTTGGACCAGAATGCCGCTTGAAAATGAAGCGGCATTCTGGTCCAACAATCCCGCAGTTACCACGAATTGTCGTTAGAGAAATACCCCGTCTTCCTATTCCTATTAACAAGCCTGCCCCAGTTCCTGCTGCCACCGAGATTTCCCCTGCACCTTCAGCTAATGCTGTACAAACACTCTACAAACAGATCGACCGTCTTACTAGCTATATCTGCTTCATGTTTGACTCGGACATCAATTCTTCGCGCGATAACTCTGAGTTTTCACTGATGATTCCAAGATAGAACTTCTAGTTGATATTTGATGTGTACTCCCGTGGAATTTCTAACGTTACCGTCGTGACAGGTGATACTCTATTTCCAGTCCAGAAATAACACTCGACTACAAGATCCACCCTCATTTGCTCGCCAAAGAGCTCGTCATGTCGGGCGAATAGTGCAGATCTCATGACCACTGCGATAATGGTTCCATCCGACTCCGCGAGTCCTTTCTAACCTGAGGTTATTCTTGTGCTTCTGCGGTCTCATCTATTTTACCTCTCTCGCCCTCACGATACTCTTGTAAGGTGGCAGCGCGTGACTGTCCGAACTCTTGCTCAATGTTCCACTCCACGACTCGAAAGAGAGTGCTCGATCTCGTTCTAGCCATCCCCTGTCACATTACAACGCTCTCTCTCTCTCCAAGTGCAACACACGGGCCTCTCTCGCCCTCACGCGCACGACAAACGATTCATCACACTCATCTCGCCTCTCTCTTGCTTTTTCTCCCCATCATGCTATGATTCGAGCGGAAAGAGAAAATAGGTTGTGCTTCCAGCGGGTTTTGTATAAGTAGCTCATGGTCGGTTGGCAGCTCCCGATGCATTCAGATATGACAGATCCCGCTCCAGCGGATCTGTGATAGTTGAGTGCCTAACCATTAACTCTTCATACGAAACCGCTGGAAGCACAGCCCATTTTCTCTTTCCGAATCACAGCGTGATTGGGAGAGAGAGAGGCGAGATGAGTGTGATGGGAGAGAGAGAGGCGAGATGAGTGTGATGAATCGTGCGCGTGAGGGAGAGAGCGAGTCGAGGCGATTTGTATTGTGACGATGGCTAGAACGAGATGGACCAATCACATTCGAATCGTGGAGTGGAACATTGAGCAAGAGTTCGGTATTCTGTGGAAGCCAAAGCATGCAGACCGTCCTGCGCTGCGACCTTACAAGAGTATCGCGAGGGTGAGAGACACCAGCGAGAGAAGTAATACAGACGAGACCGTCGAAGCAAAAGAAGAACCGTAGTTTAGAAAGGACTGGGCGAGTACGGGTGGAACCATTATCGAAGTGGTCATGAGTGGTCACTGAACTATTCACCCGACATGACGAGGTCTTTGGCGAGCAAATGAGGGTGGATCTTGTTGTCAAAAATGTGTGGGGACTTAGATTGTTTTCTGCTGTAGCACAATACAAGATACCAAGGCATCAAGGGTTATTTCTGGACGGGAAACACAGTATCACCAGTCACAACGTTAAGGATAGAAATTCCACGGGAGTACACAAATAATTCGTCCGTCACATCAAATCCTGCAGTCATGTTTTATCTTGGCAGCATCAGTGAAAACTCAGGGTTATCTTGAAGAATTGTTGACCGAGTCCAACATGAAGCAGATACATAGCCCTGTGACGGTAAACACTCCTGATCAGAACATTCAGCTTTTTAAGGTTTAACTCTTGTTTCGCATAACAGAAGAGACGTTAAATGTGCCTCAACTTTGGAAGCGGCTGGACGTAAGCAAGTTTGGTCGGAGCAAGCAAAGCAAAACTATTGCTCATAAGGTTTTGTATCAATTGCGCAAAATCGAATCCTGTATACATGATAACGAGACCACAGTGGTCGCGTTACAGGATTCGATTTTGCGCAATTGCTGGAACAGCAATTTCTTTATCTTCGTGTGTTGTATATAGCTGCAGCCGCGTTACTAGCTGTAGCTAGTAACGCGGTCGATCTGTTTGTACAGAATTAGCTGAAGGCGCAGGAAAAGTCTCGGCGGCAGTAGGAACTGGGGTAGGCTTGTTAATAGGCATAGGAAGACGGGGTATTTCTCGAACGACAATTCGTGGTAACTGCGGGTTTGTTGGACCAGAATGCCGCTGTTGTTGTTGCAATCAAGTAAGTAAAAAGATGGTCATTGCCCTTGACTTGAATGATTTGAGTGTTTTCACAGTCAGATGGGCAGTAGCCAATTATCTGCGATTCGTACTAAATTAACATGTCAAATAGAGGGGAGTTTGGATCTGAGGCTGTGGAGTGATAAAACCACTCATCGTTTCGATATTTCAACTTTTAGAAAACATCAACCCAATGCAGTTGGAATATGATTTTGTTTCCCCGGAAATTCTTGCAGCAGATGATCCAGAATTAAAAATTTTTATACAAAATATACTTTCTGGAGAACAGTCATGAAATTGAAAGTACCAGAGATGGCATATGGTCTGAGAAACCTCCTTGATCAATAGGGTAGATCAAGAAAACAGCAGTAGCAGCAGCAACTGGAGCTGAATATGCAACAGCAAGCCAGGGACTCATACCTAAACGGTAACTTTAGTCTATTCGGGAATCTCCATAATCTGAACTTATTTTTAGCTCCCGAAGCATTTCGACTCTTGCTACGCCCTTCCTCGTCTCTGGGTGCCAAGGGTTGATACAGATAAGAATGTTCTCCTCGTCTCTGGGTGCCAAGTGTTGATACATGTAAGAATATTTGATGTACATGTGGCTCACATATCGTTTGTAAGTCCAGAAAATAGTTGGAATATATTCAAACTCTTCAGAAAAAGATGGTTAAACGAAAGGAATACTTTGCCTTCGCAGGAAATTCTTTTCGAAGAAAGCTAACGAGGTAGTGGATACAGAATATTCCATATCAGAACATAAAATCGTTTTGAAAGCTTTATCAAACAGTCAATATTCATCTATATATATGTTATCTTCAAGTTAAATTGATTTTACCATTTTTTTCAGAAATTATCAATTTAACATGAAATCAAATAATGTGATGGATTTCGGCATACACCGTTTGTCATAGTGATTTGTCAAAGTGAGGATGGAAAGCGACACGAGAACTAACTTCAAGGGGACTTGCAAACCTGGACGTGAACAAAATCCGATTTATATAAATGGCAAGGAGGTGAGGCCAGAGCGGAGGCAAGCCATCGGTGGTAGGACAGAGCTGGACCACATTGTGGTGAATGATCACTTGATCGTCGAGGCAAAATCCGAAATGGAAACCGAAGAAGCGCAGGTTTAGGCTAGAAAGAAACAGCTGTGCCATCCTGATAGCTCTCCTCTTTGTCATTGTCACATTTCGAATTCAGCTCTCCTTTCTTGCAATTGCGTACGACGGTCCCAGACAACACACGTGCCTCTCTCCCTCTCTCTTTCTCTCTCGTTTTCATCCCCTCACGCGTACAAGAAAGGTCCCATGACACTGAGATGATCGACTGTACTTCGAGCGGGTTCGTATAACGAAATCATGGTCGGCACCTCCCGATGCATTCAAACTCTTGTCGCACTTTCTGCGTCGGCGAGGACAGTCAAATTTGAAAGGTCCGCTCCCGCCGTCGATTCACAACCTGTGCTGTGAATATGGTACAATATTCCTCACCACTCTGAATACTGAATAACAAACACACGAAGATAAAACAATATGTAGAGAACATGTGGTTATTGAGATATGCAAGCACAAATCTCATAAGATAGGCATAGTCTGCTCAGTGCAGACTCTAACTTAATCAGAAGAAAACTATTTAGGTCAAAATTCCCACTATAACTAATACTAATATGAGTTAGTAGCCTACATGTCACTGAATATGAACTCAGAAGAGCATGTACAAATGGCAGTATGTACAATACCATCCCAGTAACCATTCTCTCATTTCGTAGTGTTATATTTATCCTAAGTAAAAGTAAAAATATATCTGCCCATATAACAAGAAAAAAAATCACATTGCAATTATTTCAATCTTACACTTCCCGGTGATCGAAGAAGATGCGGTAGATTGCTGAGTCCTATCTCAATGTGGGTGATAAGACAAGTGACACACCAGTTCTGACTGCTTCCTCTAATATATTGTACCTAACATGAAGTCAAATGGCTATATTGGAGTTTTATCAAGAGAAATGAGTCCTAACCACTTGATGAATTATCCGCTTTAGAATTTGTGTCAAAAGAAAACTGGATTGAGAAAAATACTTAACTGATAATCTAAATCCACTATTCGGAATATCCTCTAACGAATCTCAATATGTTAAACATAGATTTATTTTTTATCTAATATAAAAAAATGTTCACCTCAAAATGAAAATTAATCTCTGAAAACCACATATATTTATGAACCAAATTTCTTATTTTTTGCAAACCTTTAAAAAATATTTCAGACTTTTCCCGTGTAAAGAATATTAGAAATAAAAAGAATTAGAACAAGATTTTTCCTATCAAAAGGCGTGCAGATCAGATTATGAAAATATATGATTTTTTAAAATTAATGATGATGTATAAATTTCCATTTAAATTTTCATTCTATATATTATAAAACGAGGAATAATTATATTTTTATCTTGTATAAGAGATATTCATTTCAGTTTCAGTGCTTAAAAACCTGACATTAATTTGAATAAAAATAATTTTCTTTGTAATTTTTTTAAAAATTGTTGACAATATGAGCAAAGAGTTTCACCATATAAATCAGAATCATTTTCAAGAATATTTACATGAGAAGAGTTTTCTAATAGATATGTGTTAGGTTAACTCTATCTTGAATTAAATCCAGTTAGTGGTAACCATAGTTATGAAATTGACCGTGGTTATGTTAGATTATCTTATCTCTTCTTGTATAGAAGAGAGAAGGAGACTCTTGCTGCGTACAGTTCAGTATAGCACTAAGAGAGTGAACAGTAAAGAGTAGTGCTTGGCTACGGAGATCGTGTATACATCAAAGCTTTAGTGAAGTTTCTGCTTTTGACCGTGTATCTAGCCTATGGAAGGTGAACCACGTTATCTCGGTGTTGTGACTGTCGTGCGTGCTTATCGATCTGGATGTTTAGGTCTTTCAATATGTAAGGAAATTTTATGTTTAATTATTTGGTGATATAAAAAAATTAAATTTTTAATTGTTGTGTTTCTTTACGAAATAATTGTTTGAATCCAAATTTTCTGACGTTGCGGCTCATAATTAGTTCATGTAGATTGTATTTTTAGGTTTTCCAGAATCACTTGATGTTGTTTCTTGATATACACATGATAACCTTTTTTTTTTCAAAGAATATTTATTTTCTACCCCAAAATATTTCAATTTGATTCATTTTGATATCTTTTCAAATTTATGATATACTCTTAGAAACACGTTGAATTTCAAAAATGTCAAAATGTGATATTTATATTTAAAAATTATTGCATTACCTTCGTGCTGCCTCTATCGAGAACTTTTTTTCCACAAAAATTTCTTCTTCCTTCATATAAATAGTGCATACAATTAGAAAGAAAAATTGGATACTATTCGAATGTACATCTACACGAAATTAATCATTTGTGTACACTTATTCCTATATCACTGATAGAAATTGTACGTTATGGCAAAACCCTACAGCAGAAAAAGAAAACATACATGCAAAGCGTTTGAACCTTGCCAGTAATATTCAAATTTGTATCATGCTCTGTGTCTGGCCTAACTCGAAGTTGCAAAAATATGAAGAAATAATAAAGCCTTCGGTAAAAGGTTGCACGTAGTCACATTCTTGGATTATTTAATCTCTAGTATGTTTACAATATTTTTTGGGCTCTTGTACTTGTGCTGAGGTTTCCGTTTCACAACAGAATACCACGATAAGGCGGCAGAGCTCTTATTGTTTCAGTGGTTTGGATTATGATCTCACGCTGTACATGATATAAATTTCGTATTGAAAACAAAACACCTTACTCATATCGAATTGGACATGCATATCGTTGTTTGTTTATTCTTCGCCCGGGCCAATTCACAAGCCTCGGCGTTGGCCTTGTGGTCATACCGTTATTTCTTATATAATTTCCATGTTGATATTGCTTATAGCCTTGCACCTTGTCGCTAAGTCGAACAAAATTTGATAGAAATTGAGAGCGAGTTACATTAAGACCCACGTGTTTTGTAAGAAGTAACAAGTAGAAGACCGAAGGATATTTTGTGGGCTCTTGTGAGAAATTAAAGATTCCCTGAATTCCATTTTACGACATCCATTGTGAGCCTTAAGATGATTCCAAATCCTTCGGAATGTAGTTAAGGTGGGGGTAAACCCTAAACCTGTCCGGTTTAAAACTAAGGTGTTATGATATGACGGTAAGGAAACTTGTGAAAATCATAATTTTATATAAAATAAAGTGTATTCATCTACATAGTAAGTATTTTGATTCGCACCTACTATGATGTCAAATCATTGTACGCTAAAAGGTTCGATGAATTTCACCCACTTTCTTGACCTGAGTTCATCGTCTCACGAGCTTTTTCATATGATGAAGACCTGACAGGTTGACGTCCACTTAGATCTCGCATTTGCCCAAAGATTGCCTTGCGTCTCTCTCATTTTGTGGGTATATTTCAAAGTAGAAAGTGGCGTGTCCGATATTGTACTTAATGTGGTGTGTGCTGCTTTCAATTAGAATCCAAGATTATATTGAGTTCCAGTTTAAGGTTGTGTCAGTTGTTTCTTGACAATTCTCAATCATATTTACAGTAATATACGCATTTAGAATTTTTTTAGTCCTTTTTATTTAAAAAAAATCGTTGGCTGTATGTTTTCAAATCTTTTTAAAATATATTTTTCAATTTAAAAGTCACTGATTCGTAATAAAAAGACAAATATAAAAGTTTATTTACGTCAAAATCTTGGACATTTGAAATTACGAGATGCTATTAGGTGGACCCCATATTTTCCTATTCTAGCCCTGATACACATCCCTGAAACGACTCCTGCACCTTGAATTTTTGTTAGCTATGATGCAGCTTCCCATCACATCTCTAAAACATTCGCATATCCAATCCTATGCAAGTTTTCACATACTTTTGTATGTTTTAATGCGGTGCAGCCCGACTAATGTAAATTAGACCCAAAAGTGAGGTGAGTAAAGGGATCAAAGAGAAGGACGAAAACATAAAGAGCTCTAAGTGACCAAAGGCAGAAGGTTAAAAGAGATGCACGCCAGGAGGAAAAAGAAATAACTAATATCAATAGCTCTATTCATGCAATGCATCCGAAGATAATTGAACAGCTCTCGAACTTTGATGCGGTAGTTGGGAAACAGTTAATAGTATGAATTTCACCGCCATTCATCTTTGCTTTTTGTAAAATTTGGGCATTTTAGCAATATCTTAGTACAAACTATTTAGTTTCTAGAAGAAGCAATATGATTAGAAGGAAGATATACCGGTTAAATAACACGTCTTAAAAAAATGCCTAGTCTGCTTGGCCACATAATACTTAAAAAGAGAGAATGGAAGGAGCTGAGCAGTAGATATACTCTTTAACACAGGTGTGTTATAGGAGCTCAGTTGGATTGGTTTACTTGTGAAGTAAAGCAAGGTTTGGTAAATGATCGAAATTATTTTCAGGTGTCGTATGATCATCACAAGAAGATGTGGTTGGATTACTTAACTTGAATAATATTCAAAGTTTCATTTCAAAATAAGAATATTGTCTAGGGATCTGATAAAAGAGAGTAAAACATCAATGTAAATGTTTGAGTTTCTTAAATATTAATGCTAAGAAATGAAGCCAAGATGAGAGAAGAATTAACTAGTATTGATAAACAAACTGAAGTCTTTGGCCTTTCTGGAGAAATTTATTTTTAATACTTTCACCTCAACTGGTCACGATTATATTTCAGCTAAATTTAAGAAATTGTCTTTAAAAAGTAATCAAACACTGTACCTCAAATGTATACCATTGAAGTGGATGAGGAATAGCCGATTATAACACAAAATATATCGTGTTTAGCACAAAAATGAAAACTGTCGGACTCTTTTCGCTTTGGACTTGAAAGCTAGATATACTATTATTAACGACCTAACCTAGCTTCGTCAAAATTACTCTAGAACGTTCTTAGGTAATGAGGATGATTTCTCTATGTACGGAGTTTGTAATCAAAATTACGATCGGGTACGAGCACCAAACAAAGGTGGAGCACGAACCAGAAAAACTTAGTGACTAAGCCCAGGAGTCACATAACTTATGTAAGAGTCGAATGGGCAACAATACTAGTCAAGGTGTCGGAGATTCTCGATCCCCACAACATCGATTCTCGTGCCCTTCGATCTTTTGTCGCGAAACATTTGATCAGGAATTGTCTCTAGAAGATCAGCCAGTTGGCATCTTTCGTCCGAAAAGGATGTTTGTATTGAATCTTTCCGTGTCGCCAGCTAGGTCTTCTTGTCATCAGATCAAAACGTTTGGTGTCGTCTTCTACCGCGTACAGAGTCAAAAGGTGCATGGGGTGCGAAACTTACAAATTTGGAGGCACCCACTGCGTACTTTACGGATGGAGTCAACAGATATCGATGGCCTTGTGAACTTCACAGATTTTAGCTTGATTCCATAATTGCAACAAGTATTCAAGTTTTCCCGATGGAAGTTCACATGCTGTGAGGTATGCACTTCGCTGCAGGTCCAAAAATATCTGAGCTCAATTTACTTAAGTGCAAAAATATAAACCCTTCTATTACTCCATGGAATTACTTTTCCTCACAAAGATGGATGTCAATCTAAGGTCTCCATTTTCTCCATCGCTCCACATCATTAGAGTGGTCACACTTGCAATGGTTGTACACTTCGTGTTCTCAGTTTTTCTATACCTGTATTATTACGGATCTGAAGTTGTTCTCCAAAACATATGTTCAACTCTTCACCTGACCAACGTATGTCTTATAATAATTTAACTATACGTATGATTGACTGTACGTAATAATCTTCTAACCATGAATTAAACCATTGAATGAATCTGTCACTGGAAAACATAAATAATATTTGCCTAATCATTCTAACAACCAAGTACGCAGAACTCAGATACTCATCGAACGACACAACTTCGAAAACAGGTAGAAGTCGCGATTTCTGCCACAGGGAGGAAGATCTGAAACTACGAGACGGGGAGAGGGTGCAAGACTTGGTCCACAGCCGGTGATTTGGACGGCCAACTGGAGCTGACGACGGGAGGTCCATATTCAGTGGGGCTTCGGACACCTGCGCTCAAGACAGTCAAAAGACAACAACGCCGACCATAATTTCAGCGCGGGGCGAGGGGTGCTTTATTTATCTCGCTCGACGAGGAGAAGCGTAGGGCTCCGCTAAATCGAGAAGGACGACATAGACAAACCGCATCGATATTTCGATACACCTGCCACCGGCCACCTTCCACGGTCGGTTTTTGGACTCTCCGGTGTCGAAAAACGGAAGCGAAATGAACATGGCCGCTCCTCGGAGTAAAGGCACGCGAAGGTGAAGCATGTGGACGGTCGATCGCACCATGTGCCTGCCATCCTCCAGATATAGGCAACAGACTAAATCAGGACAAACAAACCTGGACACAGTCGGCTAATTATGGCATGACGGACGAGGCTCGCAGACAGAGCATTGCCCAGGAGAGATCCAAAGGATGCTCAGAGGCCAGCGGTCCGAGACAGAAAAGCCGGCGGGTAATCGAGATAAGCACTGTCCGTCCTTGCGGTTCGTGCGCTCCGTCTTCTCTCTCTCTCTATCTCTCTTCCTCTCCGACATGGCGACACCCACTCGGCCGGGCGAACTGCGTCGCTGCGTTGGTGCAAACCTCTGTCGAGCTGTGACTGCGACTGCGTGAGTGAGGGAGTGAGGGAGAGACTTCTGCGTGGACATAGGATGCCGAGCAAATGTCCCGCCCCGAGGACTCAGAGGACGCTGTCCGAATTGGGGACATATTGGGGACATGACGCGATTCCATAGCTCAGAGCTCGAGCATCGAACGACCGAACGACAAAGAAGAAGAATGCAGACCAAAAATCAGGAAGATGCATCGTCGAGCACTTTTTTAAAGGATTGCGCGAGTTTCTCGTACATCATGTGTTCCCTATAAAGCCTGTCTACGAGGTCGCGGCCCTGGCGGCCCATCTGCTCGCGTTGCGCTCGGTGATCGAGCAGGCGGCGGATGTGCTGGGCGAGCACCGGGACGCCCGCCCTGCCGATCGGGTGGAGGAGCCCCGTGACGTTTCTGCTGATGATCTCCTTGGATCCCCCGGCGTTCGTCGCCAGCACCGGCAGCCCGAAAGCCATGGCTTCCACGGTGACGCGCCCGAAGGTTTCTCCAATCCCCTGCGCGTTCATGACGTACACGTCCGCCGCGGCGTACAACGAGGCCACGTGAATGGTCGAGGGCGTCGACAGAGTGAGCTTCGCCAGGCGCTCGCTGCGATCCAAAAGCCTCGAGATTTTCTCCAGGTACGCCAGCTTGTTGCTCTTCGATCCGATGGAGCCGATCAGGATTCGGAGTCTGGGACTCCCGTCCGCGCCCTCGCTGCCCACGGCCTTCGGCCTCAGCCTGAGGATCGTGTTGCGCACGAAGTTCTGGCCTCGCTGCTTCAGGCTCGATTTCTTGCCTTTCGCCAGAGGGAGTCTCGCCTTCCTGCTGCCTCTCCCGAGCAGAGATTTCGACTCACCTCCTCGGGATTTCTTGTCTTTCCCCGGCGCACCCGAATGCTTCTCCTTTCCGGATGCACCGGGCGGATGACTTCCGCGGTCCTTGAATATGCTGAAAAAGCTAAAACTGTCAGCCAGGGAGAATATTTGCCTGCCTGTCAAAAAAGTTCGTCTGGATCTCCACTCCAGAGCGGAATTCGTCTCCACGTGAGCTAGGCCTGCGAGTCCTTCATTCTCGACATGATCTACCACCATCAGCGCTGCTTGCAATAACAGCAGCTGACCTTTACCCGGATTAATGCTACTGAGTGATGCTACCAGAACATCGTTGGGCTCTAAACCCATGCCCCGACGCACTTCCTCTCGCAATTGCGCCCGCTTTTCAGCAAGTTGGTAATTCGACGAATTCGCCAGCCCGGCAACTGAAGCGAGCTGTTCATTGACGGACAGGGCGACGACTTCTGTGTGGGCAGCAATCGGCAGGCTTTCATTCCTACACCACTCCTTCCACAGCGTAGATTGTATATCCGACAGGAAAAGCAAAGCCTTGGGCCTTCCCAGAAGATACTTGGCCCGGTCGAAGTACTCGCGTCGATTCTCCATGACCCACCACACTAAGCGGTCTCCTCCTTTGGGATTGGACTTGAGATACTGGCCGATCCAGGAGGCACAAGCAGCTGAGCCCACGACGACAAGATCGGCCTTCGCCGCTGAATTCCAGCTGTGATGAGCTTTATCTTGCAGGATGCGGATGCCTCTCTCGACGAGCTCCGACAGCAGTCCTCCCTGTTTGTTCAGCACGACGGCCGACACTCGGCCCCCACAGCTGCGCATTTTGGTTCCGAGCTCCAGCATGGACAAGGGCGCCCCGGTGACTGACAGTTCATGCAGCACGATGACGAACGACCTCCCGTTCACGAGCTTCGCAAACAGAGAATCGGCCTGGCAGCCCCAGCCCTGCTTTCGTTCATCTTCCGCACCCAGAACGCTCGCCTCCAGCTTCTCGAAAGGCCCCACTAATGTGCCAATGCTGTAATTGACGCTCGGCGGGGCGTTCCACACACTGCCCTCGTCGGCAGACGAGCCCGGCAGCGAGTCGTCCAACATATCCAGACCCTGCGTGAGTTCCTCGGCTTCCTGGCGACTGCTGATCCTCGGAAGCGACCAATGCTGCTGCTCCGGAGGGGCCCTCAATTTGCCCGCCTCATCCTTCGCAGAGACGTCCGCGCGTTTCTCCTCGCCACGATTTGCTCCGGCAGCCGAGCGATGGTCTCGCACTCCTTTGAACACGCCCCAAACCCATTCCATGCTCCAGACGGCCTTGCCGGCATGCCCATGGACTGCATTGTACAGAAAAGAACGCCCCTCTGCGCCACCATTGTTGCTGTCGGGATCGAACGCGGAAATCTCCAGCGACCGTCTCTCCAGAGGGACATGCGCATTGATCTCCTCGTTACTGGGTGAGAGATTCTCCATGTAAAACCAATTGAACTGGACGTGCAGCCCAAACGCAGTCCACAGAGCTATGAAGACGATCCATGGCAGCAAACGGCGGCCTGAAAACACACTAGCAAAGAAAGAGCGCACGATGGCTCCGGCGAACCTGGAGTTGGAATATCGCTTGGGGGTGCAGCAGCAGGCGTCCGCCCGATTCGGAGGCGTTCTCACGGTCGGAGACACTCGCCGCGGCGACGGCGAGCTCGTCGGCGTCAAGCATGGAGAGCCTTTGAAGCTTCGACCCACGATGAGCGTTGGCGGCCGCACGACCGCCCCCGTGAGATCAATTTGCAGCTGGCTCCGTCCATTGCTGTCCATGGCAGAACTCTAGACTCCGCGCACAATCCATATCCTGCTACATCGCCCCACGCACCGAAATCCCATTCCCCCTGCGCTCGACTCCCCTACAACCCCACCGATCGATTCCCCGAGCAAGACTCAGCCTTGCGGTCAGTGCGTCCGTCAGTCGACTGACACTCCACTCCACTCCATGCCGAACCCGCAGCAATGCGATTCAATTATTGCCTCGCACACGAAGAACCTCCGCTCCTCCTCCTCCTCCTCGCCACATGTTCCGTAACTCGCATGGTTTCTCGCAGCGCGAGTGTGTCTGGGCCACCACCACCACTGCCGAAAGCTCACTATCGCAGCTCCGAGTGCGACCAGTTCACAAGTACACCTCGCGAGCTCGAATGAGTAGCCAGAATCCACCTCGAGCACCTCGACCTCCTCTCTCTCTCGCGACCCTCCTCTCTCGACGAGCGCTCGACAGCCCGCAGTCCAGTCCAGGCCAGTGCCTGTCCTGTCCTATCTTCCCCCTCCCCCCGCGACGGGACCAATGGGAGACGCCGGCGGAGGCAGCCCCGGGCACAAGATCGTTTGCCCGGGGCTCTGCGTCCGTACAGTACTTGGGTGCGGCAACGCACAATGTGCTGAAAAGTACAGTACAGCCCCTCTTGCACCACCAACCCCGCGCCCCCTCGCCCGCCTTCAAGTCGCTCAGAACCCGGCGCCGGGCTCGACCACCCCCTTCCCGTGTGGCCGGCCACGATCTCTCCTGCCTTCCGACCAAAGCCCATGCACAGACAGATCGACGGCGCCTCTTGCACCCGGGCGCGGGCCAGCGGGCCAGCGGGCCACCCGCGCCGCGCTACGTAACTCCCGAGGCCCGCGCGGCGCTTGGAGTATTGCCTGCCCTGGGGCCGGACGACGACGACGACGACGACGACTTGCAGGGAGTCGCAGGCTGAGGAGGGAGGACTGGCCGCATCCTCATCTCGACAGCTGCGGCACGTACTGGCTCTAATCATGCCGACGGTGGCAAATTAGCGCAATGTCAACCGGATCATTATTGCTCCGCGAAAACAGCGCAAACTCCCAGAGAAAGCCCAGCCCAGAGTTCACGACCTCGGCGCAAAATCTCGCATTGTTGCACAGCCTCTGGCACAACGGCTGGATATGTTTGTTTACACGGTCCCGCGTGCCCAGATTTCTCTCGCTTTGTGATTCCGGTCCCTGCCAGCAGGCGCTGTCGGGGTCGCGCTTCCCGGTTGGCCCCGTATCTGTGTACCGCAACGCAAAGTGGGGCCGAGGATTGCCTGCGCATCTTCCCTTTCCGGTACGAGCGTGAAATCTTTTCCGGTCTCGACGAGTGGATCGGAAATGCGCGTCATGGGCACTCATTCATTCATTCACTCATGGCCGGCCTGCCTCTCGAGGACCGCAGCTAATGCGCAGGCAGGGAGGGGGGAAAGCTGGCAAAAGATGGCGACTACCGGCGACAAAAGTAGCACTCGCTCTCCACGAAGTCAAGATCGTTGGTCGTAGACTCCACGTGAAAGAAAAAGAGACTCAGCGCAAGTGACAAGCAGTTTCGAACCTCTTGTCGAGTGAGGACTCGATCGCCCGTATTTCTGCCCGTTTCCACCTGACCCGCGCTTCCAGTCCGAGACATCATTCCAGTGTTGCTGAAAGCAGTGAAAGTCAGTTTTCATCCCCCAATTTTCATGAATTCGCTGTCCAGTCGATTTCCTCTTTTCGTTTCAAACTCCAGGGAATGCGAACCGAATCCAAAGTTCTATTGTAACTCCACTTCTTTATCTCGATTTCCTCCAAGAAACTGTTATCATATTCATATATATATATATATATATATATATATCACACTAACTGAAGGCCTTGAAATGATTGTAACTGTAGATTCCAGTTTGGGGGGGGGGGGGGGGGGGGGGGGGGGGGGGGAACTTGTTTGGACATTCGAGGACAAGAGCAATTGACTGGCAGAAACGCTGATTAGTCCAGATTCTGATAACGATCCTTCACTTGTCTCACGAGGCTGGGCGGTGTGCACCACTTGTGGACGCTATGGAAGTGTCGTCAAGAAAGTGCTCTCAAAGTGATCTCGCATGCAAGATCATTTGCGTTTCCTAGTATACGAGTGGATGTTGTCGTGGTGCCAGTTGGACTTTACTTCGTGGTTCATGTAACTCGGTGTCTGGAAACAAGAATGGTACGGGGGCTATGACCATTCGTTGCTTGTGCCACATTGTACTTTGTCCTACTAGCTTTATGCTTCATGAGGAAAGACACAATTTATGTACCAGTTCTTCGTAGATACTCGTATGGATATCAGAAGATGTACCATCAAGCATTTGTGTTGCCTACTTACATTCACGTTTTTCTCAAGTCACATGATCAGTTCATGCAATGTCTTTATGAAAAAAATATGTAAAAAATTACTTAGAAAAAAGAAAGCAAAGGAAATCGGTTGTGAAATTTGACAAAATTATTTTAATATAGGCCTTTTGTCATGATCAAACTATACTCAATCCAACTCTTAGAAGAACATACGAATTCAATTACATATAATCTGGTCCGCATATATATATATATATTTGATTTCTCACAGGGTTAAATATTTCTAATTTTTTACATTTCTTTAAAAAAATATCTAACCAAAAATGTCTTTAAGATAATTAAAAATGTACACACCAACAAATAAATTCAATAAATTTTGAAATTTCTTAATTAAATTAAACATCAAATGCATAAAAAATTACATTTTCCATTAAATCTTTTCCGTCAATTATTTTTTAATATATATAATTCTGTCATTTTAAATATAAACTTGAACAACTTGAAAGATATATTCCAAAAAATGAAGCAAGTTTATGAGAAATCTCAAATTTTCAAATTTAACATATTAATTTTGAATATTCACAAAGATTCGGATCATACTAATCAAAAACTTAAATTTTTTTTTCTTAATGTTTCAGTAGGTTCATATTCTGGAATTTTATTATTCCATACATCACAATCGAATTAGAATAGACTCATCTCATGATTTAGTGTTTTAGCAATCAATGTATGAGTATTTGACAATTATGAAGAACTTAATAAGAAAAAATTGCACGGCTTCTTTTTCATGTTATACAATAATTATATTCAAAATTATGAGTGTTACAATTTAGCCACATTTTATGTTTTCCATTTGGAAATGTTATTTTAAAGGAATGTTATTATGAATCCATAAATGAATATAAAGATATAGACAGTAAATTTATTATGAATGAAGATAAATAATTTCAAGACATCTTATTCAATATTGGACACGAACTCCTAAAGTTGAGCACTCCCTGACCTTCAAACTTAAACTTGTCAATCTGATATTGGTTTAACATTTGATAATATCATTTATTATATAATTATTGGTAAAAATAATTCAAATTTCATTCTTCTTAATATATTATTAATCTCGTGTAGCCCTCATTCCAAAAAAAAAGTAAGAAAGTAAATATATGTAGTAAATATTTATTAATACAAAGCATAAGGCGTGCACATAGTAGGCAATAGAAGTGAAAATTGGAAAGTAGAACTATGGACCAAGAGACAAAGGAAATGTGGCGCACATTGTATCTCATTGGTCGCTTCGGGGACATCCGAGCCCCGAGCTCTACCCATGCCTCAAGGCCTTTGTTTCCTTCCGGTACTCAGTGACCGGATAACCGCGTAAATCCTGCGACCCTTCTCAACGGCAGTGCGTGCTGTTCCTTTCCAGCGGATCGAAGACTTATTATTTTTACACCTGCACCTGTCGGTATCCTCCCCGAGGGAACAGAGAGCAGTTAGCCGAAGCTCAATTCTTCTCGCGTCCTGATGCTAACTCTTGCTGTCCATGTTCCCAAAATCATCTTCTCAAAGTACAAAGGTTCCACGAACGCTGGGACCATCTTGTACGTGCAGAGAGCCGGGCTGTTTCTTCGTTGTTCGTTACAAGTTTCAGTTACTGGCTTTGTTACATCGAGTTGATCTCGTAGCACATTTCACATTCACAACTCATTTCTTTTTACATGAAAGCCATTCATTTCATAGAAAAGTAATCTTCTTCGTTTGGATGCATGTATCAAGCTTTGTAATGAAATGAAGTGGCCATGCGGTTATGTTACTTTTCATTTCGTTACAAAAATCAAATATACACGATAACGGATGCAACTACTCTCAATCAGTTATTTAACTATGATTGACTTATCTATACAGAGTAACAAAAACTTCCATGAGTGTGATTGATGTATAAATTGGCTGATAAGCTAAAACTCTAATAAATGAAAAGCTCATAAGCTAAAACTCTTGCTCACATTTGAAATTAGTTGATAAGAATTTTTTACTTATCATTATTGCATAACTTATTCTGAACGTTATTAGGAGGTTGATGATTTACAAGAACATTTGCTTAAGCAGTATTTTGAAAAAAAGATTGCTAAGACGATGTGATTCATTTGAAACTTCTCTAATTTGATTGTTGTGTCATTATTGTAAAAAAATAAATTTTCATGAATTCTTTTTTACATCATAAACATAAAATCTATATTAGATCTAAAAATTTCAAAAAATTTAACAACAATAAAATACCATATATAATAACTATATGATAAACATGGAACCTTTATTTCCTATGCATTTTGGTTAGTTTATATATACTAAACATTATGTAAATAATATATAGACATATATTTTTTCAATATTATATATATATGCATATATATTTGAATATGCAAATATGCATCAAATTTGTGTGTTGATCATAATTTTTTTATAAAAATATAATAATTATAATAAAAAAAAATATTTGATGTTAAATTTATGTGCAGTATGTACATAATTTTTTTAAATAATAAAATAATAATAAATTCGAAGTGCACTTACTTAGAATAGTAATCATTATAATACTCATAAATTTGTTCAAAAATGTAAAGCTATCAAATAGTATCATATGAAATTTGCATTTAGTTTTTTAAACTACTATAAGATTTTTAAAATCTTATTATTATTTAATTTTGCTTCAATATTTACTAATTATGAATTAAAGTAAGTAATATATATTATTACATAAAAAAGCTGATATGACTTCTTTCATATAAAGTAAGAATCACAATCTAATATTTTTTGCTACACGATATTAATTTATGAAAAAAATTATAAAACTTTACAAAAATATTGCTAATTTTGTGAATAAACACAAATTATAAGATTTTTTTTAGTGAATATTTTAATAAAAATTATCATAAAGTTTTTGATTGGGTACAAGTTACAAAATTTTTTATTTTATACATGTTTGTCAATTGAGTTCATTGATGATAATATCACTTCAATTTCAATTATGAATATTATGTATGTACTCAATCATTTACATTTAATGAAGTATATTTCCAAAATTCAAGTTCAGAATATTACATGTTGTATCATCAAAAAATATTAACATAGTCAAATTATATTATATTTTTTCATCTATATCAAATCATCTTAGGAGTTTCAAATAGCGTTTAAATGTAGTAAATAAAGAAATATATTCATATGTGTAAATTTGATACTATACATTAAATAAAAAATTCTATTGATAAGAAAAATTTAAAACAAATCTAATATGAGTATTACATATATAAAACAAGATCATGTTATATTTGTTCATGTAATTTACACTCAAACTTGTAAGTAGAAAAATCTTCAAGAGGTTAAAATATAAACAATATGTATTGTTTCAGATTTGATTGAAAAAGATTTATGAAGAAATACAATGTTTACTTTTTGATAATGTCGAATGAACGCAAAATAGATGACTTTTTTTAATACGGGTTATAATGTAGTATCAAGGCCTTATTTGATATTTTTGGTATCAATATACTAAGTCTAATGTGTGTGTGAAATATTGAGTTTTATAACAATGACTATTAAGGAAAAAACTTACTTGATGATACCATAAATAGTTTATTGAGATGCAACACATATACTTTTTATCGTATGGGACTCAACCACCGACACACCGTCACCCATGTCCTAATATTAACAGACACAATTTTATTTCTAACATAAAAAACACTGTCACCCATGTCCTAACAGACACAATTTTATTTCTAACATAAAAAACAATCCCATAGACGTCTACCAAGAGAATCTAGAGCAAAAGTAAAGTGCCATGAGTAGAGATTCTGATATATCCATTGAAAACTCTAAGGTGAAACTCTTTCTCATAATTGATCAAACTTAAATCTGTTCAACAAAAGAATTAATTTAAATGCTTGATTACATGTTAAAAGAAAATTGATCGCATCATAGATTGTTGATTGATCACACTTGATTAATCAAGAAAAATGAAATGAGATATTCCAGAAGATGTATAACAATTATGAGCTGAAAAATTGGACAAAATTATTTGAATCATGGAAGTTAATAACTTGAAAGATTACTGGATATATTTACAGCGATGAAGAGTCTCTTCTGCTTATAATTGACAAGCTTATGGCAGTGAAACAGATCCAAAAAGCTGCGCAATTAATCTGGATAGTGTTATTGGAACCAATAAATTACTCATCAATTGTATTCAACCGTCCGACGTCGTAGTGTGTGTGGGATGTTAAATGCACATTGAGCTTCTTGAAAAAAAGGTATCGCGTCGGTGTTGTAGGAGAACTCATCGTTGTTATCATCATCAGTAGACTTCTTACAGTATAAGTGGAATTTTTGTCTATTAACATTTGATACATTTACAATTTCAAACAAACCAAGAATCAAAAGAATCACAATTCATCATATAGATGCTCCCATTGCAATAGCAACGAATTTTGGGTCTCACTCCCCCACATTATAGTGGCACTAGAATATAGTTACAAGAAATTTGTTTAGAATATAAATGACAATGTTTTATGGGTACCATTTGACAAAATAATACTTTTGAATAATGAGGTTTGTAGTTAGACATGTGTGTTACAAAGAGGTACCATCAAGTAATTTTCTTGTAATAAGGTCTAGATTTAACATATCTTTTAAAAATTATTAAGCAAATAATATTTTGAAGAAATTTCAAATTATACTTAATTACTTTTTAATATGGATGATACACTTTTTCAATTATTTGCAATAATTTTCAGTGCTAAACTTATCTAGATTCTTAGAATAATTATCAAATTAGTTCATAAAATTATTTCTTTTAATAAGAAAATTTTCAACTTGTAATAAAATGTAATATTATGCATATATATTTATTTATCACTTGATGAAAATATTGTTTTTAAATATTTATGAAATATTTTTCTTTTTTGTAAATTTTCTTTAATATTTTTACGTTAGCACTTGTATGATTTCTGTATATGATAATTTTTATTCAATAAAAAAATATTTGATTATGAATTTTTTGATATATATTAAGTTTCTTTTGTTTTTAAAAACAATTTTCATATGGTTAACAAAAATCAAATATTGAGATTTTGAAAAAAAAGGAGTGAGATAATGGATAAAATTATCTCTCAAATAATTCTTGTTGGTTGGAAGTTGATTTCTTCATATTATATATAGATTATGAAAAAATATAGGTGAAATTTCAAAATACATAATTGTAATTTACTTTAAATTTTTTATGTGTTTTATAACATATACTGTCTCGTAAGGTGAGTGCTGCCCAAGTGGATTCCGCTAAAATATCTCTCAAATTTTACTAAAAAACTGAGGATAATATTGAGTACTTTTAAACAAGATACGTAGTTATTTTAGATTTACATGAATTTTATTTATAAAACAAATGGTATCAGATGTTTAATAACTTCTAAATCAATAACACAATCTGATCTTCAAGAAAAAATTCTGCAAAAATAAATCACATGCGCAAATTAATGATAATTCAATACAATTCCTAAAAATTGAAGTAGTGCCAAATTACAAAGAAAATTTTAATTTCAAGGGATATAAAATATATATAATGATTAAATATATATTTTTTGGTTCAGATCATTTCAACTTGGACATGTATTATCAAATAGTTTTTAACTAAAAATTTGATAAAAGTACAAAAATTTACACAATTTTTTTAAAATAAATTAGATTTAGAGAAAATTCAGATTTTAAACTAAAGCTAAATTTCCAGTAAAAATATTTCAACTTTCACATTAAATTATTTGCATTTTCTACTTGTGAATCCAAATTTAACTGCTGTATCATGACGTTGGTTCAAGTGAGCGAGTTTTGTTAATCTAACGAACATATATCAGTAAAATTTATAGTAATTAGAGCCTATTGAGATATTGTGGTAACACATCTCTAAACCACCACCAGCTGAGATGACAAACTCACCAAAGGCATCGGTGATCAGCTCACCTCCAATATGATGCAAGGGGTTCTGTAGATCTGTTCAATAAATGCAATCAATGAAGGCCCCAGTCACAGTAGGTTGAAGTTGTTGTTGGAGGTACACTGGGTGGCTTCGAAATCTCATGCTGAGGTGTTCGATTATTCATACTTGATGTATATATAAGCGACGTGATCTGCTGAGCACCTGGTTATCGCTTCCAATCATCTGCAAGAGACCGGGAAAATTCCTCAAGTGTAAGCTAGAAATCTCTCAATCATCTCAGATTGAATAACTGAACCTTTTTTGACCTGTAATCTATTGATTGTGGGATGAATTGGGCCCTTGGTTCTCTCTCCATCAAGATTAGCAAAACTTCAGAAATGTGGTTCTTTATAATTATATACTCATATAGCTATTGCAAACTACTCCTTTACTTCCTCATGGTTCATACTCTAAGCCCCATGAGCTTGAAGCTTCACTCTAATTCCGTGAGAACAGTCTCTTAGCATACTCCTGCGGCGTTGACTGTCTGCACTAGCTATGAAGAAGTTCCTTGCCATTCATTTTGATGTCAAGAAAGTAGATGACTTGGGAGTGGAATGTTAGTTTTCACGTGATGGAGGTTCAGAAATGTTGGATGTTTTTGTTGCTCTTGGTGAAGGCAGCAATAGCTTCGGGATCAGGTGGGTCGATCGACGAGTATTCAGTTGGTCTGATGGTCCAAGATATGTGACCTCAGATACTCAGTTTAGTTTAGCAAGCCTTGAGTGATGGTGAAGTGACGGTTTATTTGTGAAATTATATTTCAGTTGCTTCAGCGAAGACATTCTCTCGTTGAATCACATCTTCGGAGAGTTCAGTTATTCTACATGTAAAGATTTCGACTTTTTTTAATAGCGGGTGTTTCCAGTAATAAGCTAGCAGTTTCCTGGGAATCGCCTTTGTAAAAGAAAAGCTTTGAAGAAAGCTACTCCGACTGAACTATTGCATCCTTTTTATTATCGCTGCCTCCGGATTCAGCGATAGTACTGCTGTCACTCGCACTACGTTCTAGTTCTGTCACCCTCAAGTTTCTCATGGGGATCTCACTGTATCGCTCGGCAGCTCCCATCAAAGTGCAATCGAATTGAGCTACTTCTCTATACTTTCGAGGTCTCGTGAGAAAACAATGTTCCACACCATCATTGACTACCATTCATCTTCTCAACATGTTTCCTTTCTAGTTCGGAGAAAAGTAGAACGCGTTTTCTTCATAAAATCTCATTTCTTTCTCGATACTCAACTGAGCGCCGAACATGAGAATCTGACGTAATCACCAAGTCTAACCTACACCTTCAAATATGATACGCAACATACGATACTGATACAGGTTATGTTCTACGTTCATGGAGAGCAAGTCTCAGATGGAGCTGGAGTGTGCTGAACTTCATGAATTTAGAACAGAATCTAGGAGTTCAAAGTCATTATCTACAAAACTAGCTGGAGGTTCGGATCTGATCTCGTTGTCAGCTCTAGTCGAATGATACTCAAACTTAGTGACTTCCACTCCTTGCGCATTGTCGCAGTCGCCTGTGGTCTGCAGTTATTCTGCATCGATATGCATCCTCGATTCTGAATCTCCGAAGATGATACCAACTTCTCCTCGCAAGTCCACGCCCATTCTTCAACTGTACAAAGGATATTACTGGCCTTCCACCATCAGCTCCTCAACCGAATTCCAAATCTCGGCGAGATAAGCCAGCCAGGCGGTGTAGCCTGTTCACAGTCACGTGTCATGCTTTCCAAGTCTGTCCAGTGCCTCGTGCTGTTAACTGATTACCAGTCTGCGAATTCAGAATAACGCAGCTGTGGTCAGAAACAAGAAATCGAAATGGGAACAAGAGAATGGAACCGAATGGGATGATTGCGCTTCTCCAGTTTCCCACAAACTAGTGATCAATTGAACCAATGAAAAGTCCATACCCCCCACCCACAAGTTTATATTTATACACACACATGCACACAAGGGTCTTTGAGGCCAGGCTCTCGAGCACGATGACACGGATGGGGAATGCTCACCCGCAGCGAACAGCTTCCATGCTGGTATGACAGAGCATTCGGTTTCCGCGGAAGTTCCCGGCGTTCGGGGCTTCTGTGGAGTAGGAGGAGTTGGGGGCACGCTCGGTCGATGGGTTTGTGCAGCATTAGCAGGAGGCGCAGGGGAAGTCTCGGCGGCAGCAGCAACTGGGGCAGGCTTGGCGAGGACCTGGGTCATGACCGCCTTCAAATTGGGCCTATGCACCCGCTGCGTCGTGTAACTTTGACACATGATTGCAGGATGTGACGCGCGAACGCACAGAAATTGATACTCGGCAACGACTCACAGAAACGCCAAATTCAAGAATCCAATTCCGCTTCAATCCAATTTCTCAGGATCGATCGATGCAAACTCAAATCGCAAAAATGGAAAACTCTACCCCTGGCTTCTCAAATCGCCCGACCGCGGCCACCGCACAATCTCGACCCTCGTCACGCTCGATTTCTCCATTTCCTACTCGATCGCCGCCGCTGACCGACACTCCAATCTCGCATTCGACACTCGTCGTTTCTGAAATGCAATTGCTCACCGGCTGCTTGTGATAAAGCCTCCTCGTCCATCATCTATATGCGGAGCGCACCGCACTCCGCATATAGATGCTGGACGGGATGCCATGTGGCTGCGCGGCGTGCACTGAATACCATATTCAGTGCACAGGTCGTGAATTCACGGCAGGACAAGAATTCGAATGCCGGGAGGTGCCGACCATGAGCTACTTATAAGAAACCCGCTTGGAAGCACAGCGTGATGGGGAGAGAGCGCGAGTGTGATGAATTGTTTGTCGTGCGCGTGAGGGCGAGAGAGAGAGAGAGAGAGGCGTGTCCGTCTGGACGCAATCGGAGAGAGCGAGAGCGTAATTTGTAATGTGACGGGGGCGATGGCTAGAACGATATCGAACAATCACTTCCGAGTCGTGGAGTGGAACATCGAGCACGAGTTCGGTGCGCTGTGGAAGCCAGAGTGTGCGGAGAGTCCTGCGCTGCGACCTTACAAAAGTATTGCGAGGGCGAGAAGTAAAATAGACGAGACCGTCGAAGCCAAAGAAGAAGGGCCGGTTACAAAGGACTGGGCGAGTACGGGTGGAACCATGATTGAAGTGGTCATGAGGACTGAACTATTCGCCCCACATGACGAGCTCTTTGGCGAGCAAATGAGGGTGGATCTTGTCGTAAAAAATGTGTCGGGTACGTAGATTGTTTTCTGCTGCAGCACAATCCAAGATACCAAGGCATCGAGTGTTATTTCTGGACGGGACATAGAGTATCACCTGTCACGACATTTCACGGGAGTACACGAAAAATTCGTAGGTCACATCAAATCCTGCAGTCATGTTCTATCTTGGCAGCATCATTGAAAGCTTGTCCGAGTCGAACATGAAGCAGATATACAGCGCAATGAGTGTTTACAGTCAATGCGCTCCTGTTTTGCAGAACAGAAGAGACGATAAATGTGCCTCAACTTTGGAAGCAGCTAGCCTTAAGCAGAAAGTTCGGTCGGAGCAAGTAACCACAGCAAAACCTTGGTAGCAATCCCGCAAAATCGAATCCCATGCATATGGAATTCGATTTTGCATGATAACGCGACCACTGTGGTGGCGAACATAGCTGGAGCAGGAAACAGAAATTTCTTTATCTTCGTGTGTTGTATATAGCTGTAGCTAGTAACGCGGTCGATCTGTTTGTACAGTGTTTGAACAGCATTAGCTGAAGGCGCAGGGAAGTGTCGGCGGCAGCAGCAACTGCAGCAGGAACTGGGGCAGGCTTGTTAATAGGAATAGGAAGACGGGGTATCTCTCGAACGACAATTCGTGGTAACTGTGGGTTGTTGGACCAGAACGCCACTGTTGTTGTTGTTGCAATCAAGTAAGTAAAAGATGGTCATTGTCCTTGACTTGATGAAACGAGTGTTTACAGTCATAGTTATCTGCGATCCGTACCTAATTAACAAGCGAATGTCTATGTCGCTTCGGACCACATTCTTGAATCTTTGTCGTGAATCGGACAAAGAGGCGCAACTCAAGATGGAAGACGACTACGATGTATTCACAGAATCCAATACCTCAGATGTGGCAAAATCTCTTTCAGATGCACATATTTCCGACAAGAGTCACGTAGTTAAGAATCATGACATGAAGGACACAATCTGCCTGGATTTGGAACGCTTGGGTGTTGAATGAAGTTATTATGAGAAACTTCTATGGGCCCTTGGTTCTCTCTCCATCAAGATGAGCAAAACTTCTGTCGTTTGGTTCTATATATATATATACTCATATAGCTATTGCAAACTACTCCTTTACTTCCTCATGGTTCATACTCTAACCCCCATGAGCTTGAAGCTTCACTCTAATTCCGTGAGAACAGTCTCTTAGCATACTCCTGTGGCGTCGGCTGTCTGCACTAGCTATGAAGAAGTTCCTTGCCACTCATTTTGATGTCAAGAAAGTAGATGACTTGGGAGTGGAATGTTAGTTTTCACGTGATGGAGGTTCAGAAATGTTAGATGTTTTTGTTGCTCTTGGTGAAGGCAGCAATAGCTTCGGGATCAGGTGGGTCGATCGAGGAATATTCAGTTGGTCTGATGGTCCAAGATGTGTGACCTCAGATACTCAGTTTAGTTTAGCAAGCCTTGAGTGATGGTGAAGTGACGGTTTATTTGTGAAATTTTATTTCAGTTGTTTCAGCGAAGACATTCTCTCGTTGAATCACATCTTCGGAGAGTTCAGTTATTCTATACGTAAAGACTTTTTTTAATAGCGGGTCTCGGGATTTAAGAACTTATAAGAACTATGATGCCCCTCGGATAACAAGTCTCGGAACTGCCTACTACAGCTAAAGCAGGGGATTACAAAATAGATACATAATAAATCCACGGGAGTGGAAGTTTCTCCGCAGACTGAATTCCATTATCTAAAAAATGTTTGCAGGTTATTGATCTGGTCCCCATATCCTTTTTCCTCACAATACAGCACAATTCGAGAAAAAATTGTAAATTTGTGGAAGAACGAAATTGCAGTCAGTTTGTTCCCTTGCCGATAAATTAGTTGGGGCAACTTTTATGGAACCCGAAAGCTATTCTACCATAACCTTGTCAAACCGGTTATGCTACTGCCATAATTATTGCGCGTGTTCCAGAACCGCTATTTCGTCCGGACTATTGTAAAAGTACTCACAAAACACCGAGCAAAACTGAAAATTTACTAGTTTAGAACGTTGCCTTCATTTTTTTCAAATGTTGGTTTTCAATAAACAAAAGGATGGAGGTCCCATCAGGGTTAACATTGGGCTGGGCCCCAATTGCGGTCCCATGGGGAATTTGTAATCATTCACGTGAGTAATCCGATTTCAATAAGTCAAACTCTCTACAAACGATAGTGCATCCCAAGAGTCATCAACCTGATTGCTCTCCGGTACTATTGGGCGTTTCCAGCAATAGGCTAGCAGTTTCCTGGGAATCGCCTTTTTAGAAGAAAAGCTTTGCAGAAAGCTAATCCGACTGAACTATTGCATCCTTTTTTTATCGCTGCCTCCGGATTCCGCAATGGTAGTGCTGTCACTAGCACTACGTTCTAGTTCTGTCACCGTCAGGTTTCTCATTGTATCCCTCAGGCACCTCCCATCAAAGTGCAAGTGAACTGAGCTACTTCTCTGTACTTTCGAGGTCTCGGGATAATACAATGTTCCACACCATCGTTTACTAGATTCATCTTCTCAAAATGTTTTCTTTCTAGTTCGGAGAAAAGTAGAAGGCGTTTTCTTCATAAGATCTCATTTCTTTCTCGTTATTCAAAGGAGCGTAAACATAAATCTGACGTGTACACTAATATTGTCAATATTGGATAATATCATGTTATTATCGTCAATAGTGACGTAGTGATTTTATTAAACAGATTTGCACGTTAGAAACTAATGGTTCTGGAATTTTATTTCACTAATGAGAGTATGATCATAAGAAGTTACAGTATCGAGAATTTTAACTCTATATTGAATATATTTAAATAAAATAATTATTTTATATTTATATGAATTAAATAATATATTAAAATTAAAAATGATATTAGATGTTTAATAACTTCTAAATCAATAACATAATCTGATTTTAAGAAATAATCTGCAAAAGTAAACCCGATGTGCAAAATAATTCATTACAAATCCAAATAATTGAAGTAGTGCCAAGTTACAAAGAAGAATTTTGAAATTTTAAGGGGGATATATATATATATATATATTCATCTAAAATATAATTTTTGGTTCAGATCATTCAAAGTTGGATATGTATTATGAAATAAATTTTTGAAAAATTATATAAAAAATGGAGAAAGTTACAAAATCTTTAAAAAATAGATTTGATTTAGATATATATTCACGTTTTCAAATAAAACTGAGTTTTCAGTAAAAATAATCCAAGTTTCACATGAAAATATTTGACTTTTCTACTTGTGAATCCAAATTTAACTGCTATATCATATCATTTGTTCAAAAGAGCGAGTTCTGTTAATCTAATGATCAAATATTATTAAAGTATATACTAAGGGAGCAACTAGTTATACTTCACTCTACTCTGCCTAGTTTTTTTATTGGTTCGATGCAAGATAATTAGCTTTCTTATTGCTAGATGCAGGTTAATAATGATGCAGTAGCAATTATAGAGTGTCATACCAATATAGCAGAGTGAGGGCTAATTAGCCCTAAGTGAGATATAATTAGATCCTATTGAGATGTTGTGTAATAATGAATTTATTGATAGTATCAAGACATGCACAAAGATGAAATACATATATACAAGCTACAAATTAAACAAGACTATAGATCTTGAGGAACACGCAAATCGATAGAGACATTAACATAAATACAGTGTACTTTCTAACGATAATTTCTCATTTTTGTTATCCAATCGGTCCCGGACTGCAAAATTTGAAAATGTATCTCTGATATTACATTATACTTCATCTTCATGATGACTCTTTGATGAAGAACTTAATCTGCTCATATCAGAAGTACCTTTACCGAAATAGGGTATGGAAAATGAATCTGCATATGATCTTGTTAAAACATTAATGTGTAGAGTGAGTGTGTCCCCATCCGACAAAGTCCCCTTGCTCGCCAGTGCAGGCCCAGCCCCGAGTGCTGGCATGAAGTAATTTTTGCCGAACATCCGAAAGACTGCCCGGCTTCTTCTGGAGACGGAAGTCAACAGGCTACCATTAGGAACAATTGGAAAAAAAGAACGAAACGGGCGAAAAAAGCCCTGTCGTGATGGCTGGAATGTGCCCTCCAACGCGTCCATAGCACCCCCGGAGGAGGACCTCCAGAATTGACGGATCCGGGGATCGGTGTCTAGAATCCTCGAATCCAGGGCAGTCGGTGCACGAGGTTGCGAGGGAATTCGGCGAGAGAGTGAGTAACAGGAAGAAATCTTGTCATTCGAAATTCGCTGATCGATCGATCGATCGAGTGAGTCATCAGATTGTCGTGCATACTCCAGAGGGGATTGCGATGTTTAGCGTGCGAGCTCGGGCGCTGCACGCGATCCAGAGGCTGAGAGCCGCCGGTCCGGCTAAAGGAGCACCGGCTGCGAAGAAAAGGAAGGGAGAAGGTTTTCCCTTAAACCCTACTTGTCTTAAACCCTTCGTTGTGCGAAGCAGATCTCCTCGCCTGTTGTCTTTGCAGAGTTGTTGACATCGGCACTGGACTATGACAGTGATTAGAATTAAAGGGCTTCGAGGGCAGAGGAGCTGAATCCGAGAGAGTCGATGAGATTTAGGGTTCTTGATGATCGGAAGCTATAAGGCGTTCGAATTATCAGATTGCTTTGTGTTACCGATTGCCATACTGTGTTGTACCAGCGCACTTCTGGAAGCGGATGTTTGCAGCAATCCCAGACGATAGTCTGATGATGGTAAGCAATGCGCATTCTTTGGTCGTTGAGTGTTGACTTTTCCTGATTGCATTGTCTTGGAATTCCTCTTGCAGCACAAGTAATCCCTGTCGTAGCGAAGGAACTCCGGGAGAAAGCTACCTTGGGAGCCAATATCTTGAAGACTGGGGCAGATCCGCCCATTTTGGAAGACAGGTTTGCTTTCAACATTCTCGCCTGAACTTTGTTGACCCAGATTATGAACCAATTCTGATCTCAGCCATTCAGCTGTTAATAGCTGTAAGTTCTTATTGGAATGGGAAGTCTTCAGGGTTTTACAGCATTAGCAAACCTCCCTTCAATCAGGGGATCTACATTGTGGTATATGATGAAGGTACGAAGGAAGTTCACATGTATTTGACTCCTGACTGTTTTCAAAGAGCACATAGCTTCTATCGTCGGTATTTATAGAGAATCGCTTTTTTGATTTCTTGTCTTTCAGTGAATATCCTCCTTGGGTTTTCAACCTCTTGGACAAGAGACCTGCTCTTAGTGAGCTGGAGAGACGAGATCCTGAAAGTTTGGATGAGAAAGAGGTGTGTATACTTTATCTCTGTATTGGTTCTCAAGTTTTAGCCTGGCCTAAACTGATCTTGACAGAGATTTATCTGGATGAGAAATCAAAAGATACCTGCTCCCTTTTGCTTTATTTTTGAGCCGTAGAATAACTCTTTTTGCAGTAATCATCTTTGTAAACAAACTACTGAGTCATGAATGAGTGGTAATGACGGGTAAGCTGGGGTTAATGCGAGAAGTTTACACAGGATTTATATTTGTCGTGTCCGTTGCGTAGACCTTCTATTAAACGTGATAATTGGATTGCCATAAAAGGTTTTTCCAATTTGAACTCCCGTGATTAAGAAGTTTGATTTAGTAAATCTGCACTATCGGCAAAATGTCTTTTCTTGAGGGAAACTTTTTCCAGTACTGAAGCACCGTTAAGGAAGAACAGAATTTGTTATCCATTTTTGCATGAATGCGAACGTTTTAAACGAGGAAATTTCCGTGCGTAAACAATGTTTTAATCAAGTCTCAACGATCATTCACTCGAAATCTAAGCGGTTATTACATGCCTAGAAAGTGGCTGCTCTGTAGCCTCAAAAGAAATGTTAATTTTTCTAATCAGCTGTATTTCCGATTGTCATATTTTATCACAGTCAGAAATTCATATATGTAATATGTGTGTCACCCCAAATCATTCCCTTTCTCACAGTCATGTGATGTTCATATGTTACTTCATACCTTTCAATCCGGATGATAATGTGCATTCCACATCTGAAACTCAGTGTTCACCTTTGTTTTCGCAGATTATGAGGCTTTTAAAGTTGGACAATAGAAGGAGGATCAAGGAGAACAACGCCGTGAGATCAAAAGAGTGAGAATCGGAATTTTGAGAACAAAGTTTCATATTGACTTTGTTTATCCCATACTTCCTCTCGTCCAACATATGAGGCTTCAAAGTTGGACATATATTGTGCAAGCCTTGCACTCAGTTCAACCGGAGAATGCTGAACATGTGGCGCGTACAGAGTTTCTCAAACCTATCGCATGTATGAAGTCAGTGCTCTAGTTCGAGAATAACCTCGGGAGACAAATTATCTGGCCTGTTCTGGGTTTTGTAGATCTGAACTTGGTTAGGTGAGGCAATCACATCTAGTCTTTACCTGACTAATGCTATTGAAGTGTTATTCTATGTTGGATTTCCGGAGGAGTGACTACTACTTTCACACTTCAAAGCAATCTGTTTGATTGCTTAAAGTCCAGATCATGCGATACATTCACATTCTTAGCTAAACGGAGATGATAAGTCGTGCTGGCGTAAAAGTAGAGCAGTTCCAAGCGGTAACTCCGGACGAATGCAGGTGATTTTTGTCAATGAAGTCAATGGGAAAAGACCAGTCTGTCAGCAGTTATTTGCACTAATGTGATGAATTCTGATCTTCAGAGGTACATATCTTCTTTGGCAGGCCGTGTGCTCTTTTGAACCTATCAGGAAGAATGGAAATTGTTAATTTTCCTTCAGCACTGCAAAGTCCTGCAAAGTAACCCCTGAGGTCAACAATTACTTCTCACATTATATCTGTACACCCAGTATCATTGAGTATGATTTGAGTCGTCACGTCAAGTCATGTATAAAACAGTCGGAAGGCCATTTGCACAAGAGTAGTCATTGCTTGCGGCATAAGAATATATGGTAAGAAGTTAAAGTAATCAATTTAACAAGTTGTGCTTTCATCGTGATAAGTCTACTTGAAAGTGAACGGATCACAAAGTGTGACAAACCGCAGCAGAACAGTTGTGAGCAGGTAGACGCACTTTTCCTCGTTTGTGAAAGCTGTAGGTTTACAAGCTCTGATATGAAGCAGGCTTTCCGTCGGAACCATTGCCTGAGTTATTGTTAGCGAATTCAGTTTGGACGTCAGTCTTCGACGGGTGATTGTTGGAACAATTTGTGGCTCTAACTGGACGCACATGCTGACGTCGAGATGTCATCGATGACGGACTTGCATGTCATCCGACATCATTAACCATCCACGATGATGACCTTCGTCTGCAAACAATCTCATTGACTAAATGCGTCAAAGTCTTGCAATAAGTCAAAAACTTGGGTAGACAAAACTTATACAAGAAGCTTTGCACAGCGTACAAGAAATGATTAGGGGTAGCAGTGGTAAAAATATTACAGGGATGAAAAGAAACTTGATGGAAGAACCTGGAACCATTGCAGACAATCACCATTCTTACATAATGGGATTGTGCTGTTTGTGCCTGTGGGTGAGACCTGTGGGTTGCGCCGGTCAGTTTTTCGTCATGCTTCAGTGAAATAAGTAAAACTGAAGAGAAAATCAAGTCACTGCGCCACGGGCTCTCTGAGTATGTTGTCCTGCCAAAATACACCATTTTGGTTTTTTTTCGATAAACAGGTACTCTAAAAGCAAATGAATCTGTAGGTCAATGCTAGAATTGAAAAGAGTTCAAGTTTTTAAAAGCATAATCTCACTTGTCAGCATTTATCGTACAGAGTCCAAAATGCAGAGATTTATCTTTTACAAGATGGGCTGAGCTCAAATATTAGACGGCTGTACAATGAAGAGTTAAATATTCCACTCATCCTCCACTTTAAGAATCCGAAGGGGGCTTAAACCCAGAGCCGAAGTCGGATCCCTGTCCTATGAAATACCAAGACGGTACGACCAAACCTGCTTATGGATGTACACTTGGCCGTTGTACTGTATTTCATCACGTATCGTTGGGAGAAAAAGAATTTGGACGGAAGATTAAGTCCACTGGATATGAGCTAATCTCCAGGACTTGTTGGGAAGGATCTGTGGCTTCACATGACAGACGGAAGATGAGTCGGGAGCTGTAGAGAAGCTCGAGATTCTGCACCTTCACTCTACACCGTCGTAGACGGCCCCGTAGATCCGGCAACACATTCAGGAATTCAGGAAGTTCAGGTGAATGTTTCAGATGCGGATCACTGATACCCCTCCCGACAGTGGCATGTCGACCGGGGGATACACGATGCGTAGCCCACACTCTCTCAGCGCTCGCCGTTCCCAGTTCCCAGTTCCCAGGTAGGGTTTTCCTCGGGGGGCCGAAGGACAGTTTGAGGACAGTCCTGGGCACACTGCAGTACTGTACATGGATTTTATCCGTCCGGTTAATGTTGCCCCCCGGAGGGGGAGGAAGTGAATCTCCCGGTTTCTTTCCAGATCAGCAGCAGCAGCAGCAGCAGCAGCTTCGGCGCAAAGCCCAGCCTCTCGGACCCCCTGCCCTCGCTCTTTGTGTCGTCTCTCGTTGCCTTCCGCCTTCTTTGAGGTTCCTCTCGAGAGCAGAACGAGAGCCAGCGATCGAGAGAGTGCTCATGCTGAAGCGGAGCAGCAGCAGCAGGAATCCGGCTGGCTGTCCGTCTTCTCCATCGGAATGAGTGCGGCTCGTCACCGAAACGCCTGGAAGCTGGCGCCGTGGGGCTGGTGGAAGATGAGCAAGTGTGTGGGCGGTCCCTTCTGTAGCGTCGCGGCGGTGGCAAATTTGGATGCTGTGCTCGCTCGCTCGCGCCACAGGGTTTAAGAGAGAGAGAGAGAGAGGACATTGGTGCGCTTGTAGTATGCCCCTGCAATTTGTGAAGTAGCGGCTCGAGGCGAGGCGAGGCGAGGCGAGGCGAGGCGTGCATGAAGCTTGGGGAGCTGGAGGATTGTCGTGAAGCTCGTGGGCTGGCGGAGGGTGGGGATCCTCAATCGGTCAGAGACGGGCGGAAATTGAGGAGCTTCGGGGGAAGAGGAATTTGAGACATGGGGCCCGAGGAGGATGGGACCAATCCCATGGACGAGGACGGAGATGGGGATGCGGAGGAGCAGGGACGAGATATGGAGGCGTGGGAGAAGGCGTATGCTGAGGATCGATCGTGGGAGGCTCTGACCGAGGATGCATCGGGCCTTCTTCTGGCAGTGGATGTCACGCAGCAGCAGCGCCAACACCGCCGCCGGTTTGCCGCCAGCAAAGGCCCTCGTATCCAGAGGGGCATCATCCGCTACGTTTTTGTCGTCTGCGATTTTTCACGGGTGAGCTCAGCACCTCTCCTCCTTCCTGCTCGTTTCTCTCCAGCACGAAATGTCGAATTTTGTGCCTGACCTAATTCAACACTTAGCATCGCACACGAATGCACCGACACGTCTGACCTTTAGCTCGAGAAGAGTAGCGCTGCGTTTGTCGGTCCAAAGCTCCACCGCTCGGTTAGAATTTGGCGCTCGAGAATGGTCGACTAATCTTTTCGCTCGAATATCATCGACGCCAGTATGCCTTTTGAGGAACCCTGCGCGGCCTCGCATTGCAGTGCCCTCATAGCAGCCCGAGAACTCATCTGCATTGCTCACCATTTTCGAGTTGAGCTTATGACGGCTGCAGAGGAATCTGGTCGAAGCATAAGACGGAGTCGAGGCCTGTGGCGGAAGTGAAATGATCACTGAAAGTGTCGGTGGATTGTCTTGTCCGAGCTCAGGGTTGGATGTTTTTTTCACCTTCTTGTTAGAGGCTGGAGGTGACAATGTAGAAGCTAGGTGGTTAATGGAAGGCTTTCTGCCTTGCAGATGGATGGATGATGCATGCTAAAGTGAGCCGTGGGTGGGTGCGTGCTCTGCCTAGGCAGCAGCGGAGGCGGATTTCAAACCCAGCCGTATGGGGGCCGTGGCGAACTGCGTGGAAGCTTTTGTCCGGGAGTTTTTTGACCAAAACCCTCTCAGTCATCTCGGATTGATTACCATACGCAATGGTGTTGCTCGGCGCTTGACAGACTTGAGTGGAAGTCCGGAGGCGCACATTCGAGCACTACGTGCCAATCTCGAGTGCTCTGGAGATGCATCGATACAGAATGCAATCGATCTCGCTAGAGGCTATCTCTCGTCCATTCCCAGTTATGGCCATCGAGAGGTTGTCATCCTTTATTCAGCCCTGAGCACCTGTGACCCTGGTGATATCATGGACTCCATCGCTGAATGCAAGAAGGCTAACATTCGATGCTCAGTGGTTGGACTTTCAGCCGAAATCTACATCTGCAAAACCTTGTGTGACAAGACTGGAGGAGTTTACTCCGTGGCCATAAGTGAGGTATGCCAACATGACTCACTCTTAGCTGGCTGCTTTGTGATCATTATGTCTGGACGATGCCGACTCTGAGCTCTGGAGATGATATTTCAGTGACCACATGGACTCACCTCACTCACTGTTGCTTGTTCCATTACAGAGTCACCTGAAAGAGCTTGTTCTAGAACACGCACCTCCACCGCCAGCTGTGGCTGAGTCCGCTGTTGCCAGCCTCGTGAGAATGGGCTTCCCTCAAAGAGGTGCAGAAGGAACAGTGGCACTGTGCGCTTGCCATCGAGAAGTGAAGCTCGGAGGGGGTTACACATGCCCTCGTTGCAAAGCCCGTGTATGTGAGCTACCCACAGAGTGCCATATCTGCGGACTGACATTGGTTTCGTCTCCACATCTGGCTCGATCGTATCACCATCTTTTTCCTGTTCCTGGATTTGAGGAGGTTTCTGTCCAGCTGCAATCCATGGGGAAATTCGATGTCTTGAGACTTTGCTACGGATGCCAGCAAGAGCTTCCAACTGCAGGTGAACCCTCCCTTCTGACTTCTGTGTTCAGTACATGATGGGGTGTTTTGCCAGAGGTGTAACTCACTTTGCAAGTTGTGTGGACGTCTTGCCGACGGAGTTGCACAGTAAGTTCTGCAAGTTGAAGAAGTTCATGTTCGTACTGGTCTTTTCTGGTCCTATCGCAGCCGTATATCCATTGAGAGTCATGTCGTTGTGGCGATGTGATCGATTTTGCAGGAAGCAAGGCAATAGCGGGAGTGAGACTGGAGTGTCCACGTTGCAAGCAGCACTTTTGTTTTGATTGTGACGTTTACATCCACGAAAGTCTACACAACTGTCCAGGGTGTGAGAGCCTTGTAAAATGAGGATCACAATCTTGATTATTTTTTCAATATCGTCTGAAGTTCGTTATCATGTTTTTTTATCATGGCAGTGAAGTCTCAGTCTCGGTTTTAGTGTAGAGGAGAAATCGAAGCACACGATTTCTTCTGAGGTTAGGATCGCATATCTATTTGTCACTCTCATTGTTCAATTTCGTTCAGCTGTTTGTCAAATTACACTTAAAAGTGTTCAGAGCCGGAATGCTCTCGCCAGCCAGTGTATGTATGCTGTGAATTTGCGTTGTGTTCGGAGCCGAATGGATCTCAAAACTCTTGGCCCCATACGTCTTCCAGTCATCAAGCGCAGGTGCTGGTCCGAAGTTACAACAACCTAACGGACATAGGTGCGTACGGAATGTGTCACTGAAATCGTTATTTGTCACGAGGTGAAACAATATGATCAAATAAAGGTGTACTGGCAGGTAGAGTCGCTTCCTATGTAAACTCCTTTCACTTTCTGAGCTAGAAGAGTATCCGCGCGGAATCACAAGCCATAGGAAATCCAGCTCGACTTGGATGAACCTTTACTCTTGGTCCTCAAGTACAGTCTTGTGTGCCAAGTGTCACAGTCAGCGGATTGAAATGTAAACCAAACTGCCCGTGGCGAGTACACGAAGGATGGGAATCGACGGTACAGCAAGGATCCTCCTCCGTTGTCGAGGTAGAGTTTCTAGTCCACGAGCAAGCGAGAGTACTGAGACTGACAAGCTGAAGCAGCATCCAGTTAGTGCCCTGAATCACTTCTCACTGATTGAAGTTCAGAGGCTGTCAAAATGCTCAAAGACATCCAATTCAAAGAGACTCGGAACTGGAGTTTCAAACACCACAGGTTTCCGTGAAAGCGTCTGGGAGGATATCTGAGTGCAGACTTCCCGACAGGTTGGAGTATCTTAGTGCATGGATCAAATTAGGACCTTCAGGAAGGTCCACATATGATCTTGAACAGCGATGTGAGTTCTGGCTGTGCACTCCTGCGAGAGCCAGTGCTCAGCCAGAAACAGCATTCTTATCTCATAACCAGTTTCACAGATGCACACGAGGATAATTTTTCACGCTAGAGGTGTCGTTGACTTCGCAAAGTCAGATCACGATCCATAGGTGGGGACAGAAAAACTAAAATAAATTCTTGTGCTGACACACCTACACCAGCTCGAGAGTGCTTGGATCCAGGATCCACTCTTGCAAGGGGAAGGAAGAGAGTCTTGAAGATTTTGAGAGAGATGAGCTACCTTGACTAGGACAATACTCCTGATACCTGTTAACGAGGCTCCCAACACATGCTGTATATCCTTCTTGGGGCCAAGCAGTGCTCTGTATAGAACAGTTTGAACACATCGAAACATATACGATACAATTATGCTGAAGGTAATAATTTGCCTTCTGCCTAGTATTGTAGCTCATACCAAATAATTTGCATTCACGTGGCTTAACTATGGTATGGAGCTGCAATGCCTCGCATTGGCATAAAACGATAAATACATATGTATAATATCTTCGCCGAACTCAAATAGAGAGCGAGGCAAATGAAGCTCATCTCATTACTCAAGGTCGACAAAGAAAAGCTTTGATATTTGTTAGGATTCAATGAATCACGAGCTTCAGTCAACAAAAGAATTTGTTTTTGACATGTGGATCATGAATTTTACAGAATATCTATATATTAATGTCTCATTCATCTTCATCATACAAAAATACCTTCATTGTTCAATTGGTCCATCAAAATTTTGAAATAAGTACAAGAGAAGAATATTATGAGACATAAAGTATACTTAAGTCTGTGACCTTTTGTAATGCGCTTATTACACAAACAACGGTGGATTTGACTTAAGTCTTCGAGAGAAGAGGACGAGGATATTTAAAGTGTGAGAGGAACCTCGAAGAAGAGTGGGAGTGATGAGCTATGTGGTGCAATTGATAGGGCAGTTTTAGTCTGACCATTCAAAGAAAAAGAGAATCAACATTTTCTATGTGCATTTCATATTAAGCAGGAACCTTATAAAATCAATACGTGCAATCTCAACCTTCTTGTTTATCAAAATATCACAATTGGCTTGGATTGTGTCCCAAACAGCCTTTTGGTGGCTGGTTGAATGAAGATCAATATGTTTGAGATATGAGAATCACTACAAAATTTGACGAATTCTTCTTATACAATTCAAATGCCATCCTGCGAGTTCAGTGAGCTTATGATTGTAGGAAGTAGAAACGTCGTCTTCCTATGTCACTCTGGCTCTCTGTGATCAGGTTGAATATTTTTGCCGTGATGGTCTTGGAAAAGAAATGTGGTCTTTTTTCTCAAATTCTTGTATCTTAACTGTAATTATATTTTCAGATTAAAATATCAGAAGTAAGATCTCAAGCTTATGAAAATGCGACCTCAGACCAACTAATCTCCTGTTTCTTTGCAAAAAAATTACATTGATGCATTTACGAGACAGTTCCACAAGTTCTATACAACCTACATTTGTACAAACGTACGTACAAAATGCACGCACATTTGATATATATGCATTTTTGGCCTATATTATAACTCAGGATGCAATAAACTTCTTCTTTTTTAATTATACTTAAATTTTCAAAAAGCCCATATACTTAATGCTTTAAGAAACCTCAAATGTTGCAAATGATGATGTCACAACGTAATCGAATTCTTGACTTTATTCTCTATGACCAATTTTTTCCCAGGGTACTTATGAATTATTCAAGGTAAGTTGTCGAAGTTTTCTGGTCTCATCTATGTCTCTTTGTCATTGTTAAAAATGCATCTCTTTGCAAAACAATGTCTTAAACGGTTCAAGCTATAATTGGATGAAGAAGACTATCATATACCACCCCACTTTAAACTAGTATGTAACTTCTTGATGCTAGAGTTAATTCGACTTGTTGCACATCTATTTCAACTTTTAATCTGATTCATCTGTTTACAAGAAACATGTTTAGTTATGATGTCCGTGCAATGCATATGTTTGAATTGTAACACAATAATCAAAATCATTCAACACACACAGTTCACAACTATAATTAAATAGATAAAATACTTGTATCCAATAGTTTGCAAATTTTAATCTCATTAACTCTCTTCGCAAGTAATAGTAATAGAATCTTAATTCAAAAAGATATGAAAATATGCTTAGTTATTATATTATCAATATCTCACATTTCTATATTCATTTTATACTTCACACGTATTTAGTTGTTTACTGAAAATCAGATATCAAGATATGTATATATATAATGGAAATTCAATATGCATGATATGGAATTTACTACGTAACATGCAAATTATGGAAGTGACGAATGTTTTATTTTTTGCATCCAATCATAGATCATAACTTTTCAAATTAAAATTTGACAATTTCATGACAATTTGTTGGTAAACGATGATGGGATATTCTTGCTTGACAATTACAAAATCCTTATAATAAATGACTTTCATCATTAAAATCTAACGTTAAAGAGAGAATAATGTCATCTTCATATCTTTCATGTTAGAAAAACATGAATGATATGAAGTACTAACACCTAATGTATTAACATTGTTAGTACATTAGGTGCAACGCTATGAAAACTTGATCAAAATCCGAAAGCGTAGATTACAACCGTAGTTTTTTTGATCAATAAAAGTACAACTTTTTTCACCAATGTTAGAAGCAATTAGAACATATATCGTATGGTTTCAAAAGACATAATGCACGTCCTTCAAGAGCGTGTGTTATTTAAATATCACGTTGAGAGAAAAAAGGTAATATGTGCTCTTCTAGCAGGTAATACCAATGATGGGAGGAATCATAAACGCCATATTTTATATACTTTCATCGTATGAAGACGTGCCTGATTTTTTATCAGCTTCTTATGTTTGTCTAAAGAATCAAAGAACATATTTTTAAGATTTCTGGCCACCAGCATTTATCTGGATCAAATGTCTTGAGAGCGAATTGAAGATCTAATTCCTTCTCGTTAATCATTTCATTCCGAGAAACTGAAAGTAACGGAAGTGGCCGACGGATTCCGAGGACGGACTGGGCCATCCATCCATCCATCCATTCATTCGTCCGATCCCGACGTCGCACCGGGGGAAAGAAAGAGCGGAACACGTGGCGACGAATCCATCAACGCCTGTATCGGTTATCTGAATGGCTAAGCCCAGCCAGCGCCACCTCCGTTCCGGTCCCTAGCACCCCTCCCACTCCGCCCCCCACTCCGTTCGGTCGTCCCCCCGTCTTCGCTCGTCGCCATCGCCATCGCCCCGAGCTCTCGCAGAGAGAGAGAGAGAGAGAGAGAGCAGTGGGGGCTCTGTCTGTGGATAAGGCCTTTCTTTGCTGCGGAGCGAGAGAGCGAGAGCTAGAGCGAGAGAGATGGCGAGCGCTGTGACCATGGCTGTCTCGGCTCCCACCTCGTCGATGCGAGTGCTGCCGTCGTTCGATGGGCTTCGAGCTCAGCAGCTTCCCACCAGCGTACGCTTCAATTCCTGCTCTTTTCTTCTCCTTGGCCGTTGCATTGTGTGCGCAAGTGTGTGATTGCCGGAATTCCAGTTTCTCCGCCTGTCGTCGCCGGCATTGCTACTCTGTGCTTCGTGTTGTGCATGAATGCTGCCTGCCTGCTGCTGAGGAAGCGCCGTCTTTTGATAGCGGAGGATGTCGCTCCTTATTCCGAAACCTGTCCATTCATTCTCTCTGCGTGTCTCTGTCTCTCTCTCTCCCCTTCATCGTCTTGACGATGAAGATTGCGTCCGTCTTTAACTCGGGGCGCCATTGCCTCGTCGTCATCATGTCGTAGTTAGCTCGATAAACCCTGGACGCCCAAAACCCGTCCGGGCATCCGTGATCGTCGTCGTACTCGAGAGCTCTGGGATTCTGCTCCGAAGCTGTTGCAGTTGTGTGCCTGACCGACGTTTTCTGTGTACAGGTGAAAGCAGTCGCTGCCCCTCTGGAGAAATCTGGGAGCCTCCTGATCGTTGCCGACAAGAAGGTGCAAAAGAGACGCCAGGTAATGCTCGTCGGCGAATGGGACGCGGATTGCCTTCTCTTTTCTGGGCATTCAGTCTTCTTGAGCTGACCTTGTAGTTTATGATCCTCCAGCTACAATCCCTCCTCAAAATTGCACATCTTTTTCGACCAAATTTATCTTTGAAAGTCGGTCGTTCCGAAGATAATCACCGGAGCTCTCAGGAAGGTGTCGTGAATGTGGGATAAGTCGAGATTAAATTTCGCACACTTTCAGGATTAATTCTCTGAGCGAGCTGAACTTTTTACCCTCGAATTCGGTCGAGCTGCAGCCCATCAGTGTGCCCACCCTGAAGTCGGTGTGCCTGTGTTGTGCAGATAGTTTTGACTGAGGACATTCCAGCATTAGGAAAGGTTGGCGAGCTCCTGTCTGTGAAGACCGGCTACTTCCGCAACTATCTGTACCCCACCGGAAAGGCGAAAATTGCCACCGCAGAGCTGCTCAAGTAAGTCGTCTCATCCGGACTGCCCTCGACTAATCAACTGCCCCGAGTATTCTTGACAGCGACAAATACGTCACTCTCGTTTGATTTTACTGGATGTGTGCCATTCAATCTGAAGAAGTCGGTGAACGAAGTCTTGACCACACAATGCAGAGAGAACAAGTATGGAAGTGAGGTCTTGACTCCCGGCAGACTCTACTGAGGGGTCACTTTTTCCAAGCCATGACCTAACATTTTCTCATCATAACTCAGATCTATCAAGCTGGAAGCCGACAGAGTTGCGGCCGAGAAGAGAAAGGTAAATATTCGGTCCCGTTGTTTCTTGCGGATTACCTCGTAAACCTACACTGCATAGAGAATTATCTATATTTACAAGCTGAATTTATTCCATCAGGGAGGTTCTCGTGTTAAATTTTCTCGGTTTTTGGGGTCACAGGTTAAGGAGGAGGCTGAAAACATCGCCAGGCAATTCCAGGCCGTTGGTTTCTTCAATGTCAGACGTAGAGGTGGTCAAGGGAAGCAAATTTTTGGCTCGTAAGTTCCGTGACTGTCGATTGTGGATGGCAATGTCCTTTTTTCATTGCAAGCGTTTATCGAGCCTCGCTTACAGTCGTGCGTGCAGTCAGAGGTCCATGTCCGTGTCTCCAAATTTTGTGGGAGGCTGCAATGCTAGACTTGGGTTGCTCTTAGATGGAGAGGTTTGCCTAATGTATCGTCGTGGACCTTGCCCGTGCAGAGTTACAGCCCAAGACGTGGTGGACATCATTAGGGCGCAGACTGGCAGGTCGGTGATCTTTAGGCTCAAGCTGTGGATCATGGTTTGCAAATTTCCTAGTCGTCTGTAGTTTTGACTGATGGACCGCTTCTGTTGCCTGATTTGAAGCTTGCGTCTGAGGATTTTCTGATGTCTGATGCCATGAGGTGTGTACTACTCAAACTTTCTTTGACATTGTGCTTTCCTTGTCGTGTACAGGGATGTCGATAAAAGAGTTGTGACCGTGCCTGAAATTCGGGAAGTAGGGCAGTATACTGTGGAGGTGAAGCTTCACCCTGAAGTTATAGCTCCAGTGAAAATCAATGTAATTGCCAAGTGAATGTCACCAAGTAGTTAGTAAATTAGATTCAGCTCAACATTATTTTGGAGAAGGTATAAGTGGGTTGTGCACAGGAGAGCGTGTCATGACTAGAAAGGTCTGAAGTAGTAGGTGAGCTCAATGTTGGTAGCCAAGTTTACCATTTTTCAGTTTTGTCATGTATAGCTGCAGGTGTCCCCAGATGGGTGTATAATGAAATTTCTCCTAAAGCTTCCCCTTTCACTTTATTGGTCTCTCTTCTGATTCTGCAGCTCCAATATTGAGATGAAGTAATTTCCTTCCGCCTAAGAAGAATTTTTCTCACCAATGTCGACTTCAAATTTCATGTCTCTTGACCAATTTTACTTGAACTGCAACGAACTGGCCTGTACGATTATGAAAATACACCTGAAAGCATGGGGAGAGGGTTCATATAGAATTCGTGGTTTCTGAAGTCGGGTTTCAACTGTGTTGGCAGAGCACCCCGTAGAAGTATCTCTTGCCACTTGAATTTGGTCCCCAACTGCACATTCATATCGCCTGATAATAATTTCCCCAACTTCCAGCTTAATTCTGAGCCTTGACCGAGAGCAAGACCGGATTGATGCTGTCAACCGCCTCTTTTCTCTAGGCTAAGATGTCCACAAATGACGTCGGAGGGCCTACTCATAACGCATCTGGCTAACACATGGCAAAAACTCACAGCAAATTTGCATCGCTGTTGCAAACCGCTAGCTCCCACCCACTCCCGGGCCTGCCGTCGTCCAGATATTCATCTTTCTCGCGCTGGCTGAGCAGAATTTGGAAAGCTGGGTGTTGTGTAGACAGTTATGTCCCTTCAAAACCAGCACGCCGAGACTCGGAGATATGGATGTGACAGCACGGTCAGAGCTCAATTCTTTGTCGGAAACATCTCAAGATTCTGTCGCCGTCCTCTAAGAACACAATTGCAGATGAGCTTGTTGATCATGGCTGAAGAATGAGGTGTGCCTTCTTACACGGCAGGGAGTGCGTGGTTCGTGGAGCTGGAACGAAAATACAGCGCGAAGAGATATCAGAGTAGACTCAGCCAACTTATGACCATGAATTTTTTCTCTGTGGCGGCAGCGGATCCTCCTCTGGCTGTTGACGGTACAGCGGAGACGCAGGTCCAAACTCGTCCCAGAAATCCAGAATGCTCAGAGGATTCTCGGCCTGCAGCAATTCCCAGACAGCTTTCTCGAGGTCGACAGTCTCTTTCAAAAGGGAATGGAGACAAAAACTGAGCGAACTTATGGACAGCATCACTGAATTGCTCACAACGTTGCCGTCACCGCCGCCGCCAGATTCCACTGTCTTGGAATGAGCTGCCATGAGTTCGTCGAGCACGCTCTCAAACGTCTGCTCGAAGCGGTCCATGGTGGTCTTGAGCCTGATGGGAGTACCACCGATAGAACGCCGTCGGTGCCCGAGGGCCAGGAGAGCACGAGAAGCTCTTCGAGAGGGCTGGAAAACCTCGGCCACCGAGCCCAAGCGCCGCCGTCGGCCGGGCCTCTGCCTCTCCACATCGCCAGCACAAGGGACTCCGCCTCGGAAGGCGGACAGGAGAGTCTTGGGACTCGGCAGCCAATCCCACGACTTGTTCGTCTTCTCGAGCAGCTTCTGGAGAGAGTCGACCGTCGCCAGGACCTCGTCTTCCAGCGCAGTCAAGGAAGATCTGAGCGGCTTCAGGAGCTTTTGCATGTGCTCGTCCGACCAGTCCTCCGTCGAGGCTTGCAAGGAGCACACCATGAAGAACAGAAGGTCCAGCATCCGTTTCTGGATCGAGATCACTCGAGTATACACTTCCCCGGGATGTGGCACGAACCACAGATCGGGCTCCAACACTGCCTCGTTGTTCAGCGAAGTCTGTGCTACCAAACCAGCCGTGATCTGCTGCTCGAGCTTCTGCATGTCTTTCACGGCAGAAGTTCGACACTTCAAGCACACTTCATGGCTCGTGTACACTGCAACGATGGCCGCCACGCAGTCCCTGAGCCGTTTCAGACTCTGCAGCAGCTCCTCCCTCACGAGCACGACCGCCCGCTCGGGCAGCAAAAGCGTCTCGACCAAAACGAAACACGCAACACCGATGAACGTCATTGCGATTCGATCCATGGCGAATGCTTTGATGTCCTGGCCATCAAAATCTCCGACCATCAGGATCGCTGCCGTCAGGGCTGACACCAGTCCCGAGTATCCGTGGGTCTTGCTGTAACGAATGTAGTCCGAAAACGAGACCCAGCCTGCCAAAATCAAGGGCAAGATATACTTATGGTTGTACAGCTCGCTCACGACCAGGTACCCGAAGATGGACCCCACGGCCGTGCCTTGAATACGCAGACTCGCGAGCCGGAATGCTCCGCCCTGCAGGTTGCCGATGATGAAGCTCACGGTAATAGGAGCCCAGCAGGCATGGATGTCATTCGGAAGAGCATGGACTCCGAACACGGTCGCCAGCATCATTATCATGGACACTTTGGCAGATTTCACGACCTGAGCTTTGTTGGGCTTCATCACCGTCCACCAGCGCGTCCGAATGTCCGGTGCCGGGCTTTGAGATGACGCCCGGAGACTGGATTTGCAGTGACTGCACTGCGTGTCGGACAGCTGAGGGCTGGACTCCGAAGACTCTCCGGGAGCAGCTGCTGCTTCTGCTGTTGCTCCTGCCTCGGCTTCTGGACTGGTGCCTGTAGAGGGAGGGGACGAGTCGCCTTCTTCGATGACGGACAAGTCGATCGAGGACTTGATCCGATCTGCGGGCGGTGGTTCGAAGATCGGATTCGGAGGCATGACTTGGAACTTGGACATGCGTTTTGGAATCCAGTTAAGCAAGCGTGCTCCTGCGATCTCGTGCATGCTGGTGTGTATTCTGAAGTCGGCGTCCACCAGAAGCATTGCTTCCACAAAGTACAATCTCAAGCTGAACATGAAGAAATTTCCCGTCAACCTCGCCATGAATCGACGATGCACAGGTGCCACCATGGCCGGCACCTGCTTCAAAATATGACCTTCAGCATCGGGAGACCCGGAGGCATGCTCAGCTCCTTCAGTCTGGACAGACTCATCGATCGGTGGAGCCGAGTAGTACGCACTCTTGCGCGCTTCCAGGAGTGCAAGATCGAACAATTTCAGTGCCAGCTTCCCTTCGTCCATCAGTAACTGGCGTTCTTCCGCCTGTAAGTTGTAGGCGCAACTGCACACGGTGCACGATGTCAAGGTCTTGGTCGCCACCTCCAGGAGGCGACCGCAATAATCTGCAACCTTCAGAAGGGGCTGCTCCAGCGTTTTCCTCATCACTTCTGGACATTGTAGCGTGTAGCCGGACTGTAAAGCCACTTCCATCCCTGTCAGATGTTGATTCAGCCCACTTAGCCCTCTTGTCATATTTGTGAAACGTGATCGTTTGGAACAACTGGCCTTCAACTCCCACCATATCTCTGCCTGTCATGCATACGACGCATCTATTAGTCTCAGATCCTCATGTAAGAAAAGTCGACCTCCGCACTCTTTTTGCATCAGGACTCGACAGGACACCGTGATTCTATTCTACGTGCCATCATCTTGTGAAAACAAGTAGTTGAGCTGGACAGCTGAATTGGAAAACCCCAATCAGCTCAAGAGCAGCCCGAGCAGTCGCCCTCAGATCGAACAATCGGTGCAACTAGGCATCACCGCATCTAACAATAGGATTGAAAAGACTTCACTTGGTCCGGAGACGCTCTTTCATCAGGCGGGAAACAACTACACGGTTCTAGAAGATGGTGACAGACAGGGCTTCGCTTACTTGTCTCCTATGAAATCCGTGACAGCAACGTCGGCAAAAAAGAGAAGAGAAGAGGGGCACGCTCAATATGTTATATGCAACATCTGTCCCTGCACCAGATTATCGAAGAACGAAATGTACCTGCTTTTCCTTGAGTTCTGCTAGTGACTCCAAAGCAGCTTTCCTCAGCATCTTAGCATGAAGCCTGATGGCCGAGAAACTCCCTTCATCAGGTGCAGCAAATGCCCTGACGGCTGCCTTCAACAATTCAGATGTGCTGCGCGCTGTAGATTCAGCACCCCGGAGCACCTTCAGTCAAGCAAAGCGATCAGCGCGATTGAGTTTGATATTTCGGCTGGCAAATCCCGATCTCAACAAGTCTAGACCACGACTGAAACGGATTCTAGCGAGATCACATTCTTAATGGGGCTCCATAGGGCTGTCCGAACGCACAGCCCTATGGAGCACAGAAGAACAAAAAATTCGGCTACAGGTCAGTGAGTATTACCTCCCGAACGCCGAATCGAGGATAGGGAATGATGATTGCCACGACTCCAGCAAATGATCCGAGAGTGGTCGAAAAGAGCAACTTGAGCGGGACCATGATGACATCCATGGTCGGAACGACGTGTGCATAGACGTACAGCACACCAACCTGAGCAAGCCCGATTTTTCTAGAGAGCAAATGCACGCTGCTTGGATAGGACACTATGAAGCTGAAAAGGCCAATGCACACGATAGACACGCCGAGGTGCATGGGAGGTTTCAGAAATCGATACACCACGATGCTCGTGGCGATGTTGAAAACTGAAATAACGGCAACAGTTATGGAATTCCGCAAAGCCTTGCCGACTGTTGTGTCACAAATGCAAATTGTCATCACCGGTGCGAAGGTCGAGAAGATGACTAAATCCTGCAAGCCCTTCACAAATTGCAGGAGCAGCCCGACGATGAGAACTCCCAATCCGGTTCTCGTGCCGCATGCTACTCTTTGCAAAAAGCGGTTCACGTACACTGATTTCATGTCGCTTATGTTCCCGCCGCACACCTGGAGCTGAAATCATAACAGTAGCGTCGTATACAGTACACGCGCAGAGAGACCGGCCGACAACCTTCCAACATCTGTGCCTTCCAACTTCTCTTCTAATTGCAATCTGCGCCGAGAGAAAAATCCTCAATTCTCCTGCAATCAGAGACCCATGAGAAGGCTTTTCTCGTAAGCCTTTTCAGTCTTATTATTATCTGATATCAAACCTCTGTAGCCCACGTTGCAGACTGTATAAATACTGTCTCATGAATTTCAATGCCAACTCAGACCGGGACTGTCGACATTGCCACCCCAGGTCGTCTTCGCATTCTCAAGTTTTGAGAATGCGAAGGTTAAGAGATAGAACTCGTCACATTGGGCAATTGCAGAACTCTTCCTTTGATAGACATTTGGGCTAGCAAGGCCGATCCTTCCGATCCAATCGGATTGTGTGGTGGATTGTCCGGGTGGAAGATTCTCGTGGAAGCCGAGACTCGAATGTTCAAGACAGCGGACACTGAGAATCTCATCCATGCGCAGTGTGAAGAAGTGGTTCGCCCGTCGATCGCGCGTAATACTCCTTCAAATCTCATGCTCTATTCGCTCTTCTTCGTCGTTGGAAGAAGAGGAACTCAGCCACTGGTGAGGAAGGTCATCTGATTCCCATCAACTTGGTTTCCAATTGTATTTGCGTGCTCACAGTAATTCTGAACCAGGAAATTATGCTACGGCAGAGAAGAGGTTCTCTGCCGTAGCACCTAGAATTATCAGTACCCGTACAGGAAAAGTTTCCGGCAATCGGATATAATCTCTTCGCGCATGGTCGGCACTGAACATTCGTGTCGGACGTGCTGTGTGAGATCTGCACTGCAATCCTCTTGTAGACCTGTTACATGCAATTTTCTTCGTCTGAACGATTCCTGCCCATGATGCCAGCAAAATCCGATGACTCCGCTCAACGCCATCTCTGGACTGGTTTCCACGAACCAGGAACTGTTCTTCGTGGAACGGGGAGGGGAAGAACTTCTCGAACGAGATTCCTGCTTGTTCACCGCTGAGTGTAGGGAATCAGTTTCAAGAGTATCTTGAGAAAGAGTATTTGCACACACGGGGACGATCGTTGGAAATGTCAAAGACAAACGAAGATCGTAATGTGGAAACCCATCGGAAGAAACCTCTGCTCATTCCGAAGATTGCACTCTACTTATACATAAGCAGAGCAGAACATCTCAGGACATAACAAATTCGATTCATTGATTAGTCTTCGTGCTGTGGCCACATTCGAAATTGTTGAGATCCTTGAATTCGCTGTACTGTTTCCGCATTTTTCAATCTCTACCCTCTCCGTTCCTTAGCAAGAGAAGTTTCGTTTTCGCTGCCGCAACTTTGTTTGATTCGCTCTTTCTGGCCCGGAAATTGAGGCAACCCTTGCCCAATCATGTAAAATGTTTCGACACCATTATGGTGAGGTTGTGATACTAAAAGTAGTTAAGCTCGAAGAGAACAAAAAAGAGTTGACACACCTCGATATATCAAATAGTAAATGTATGTACATGTACAGTGTTTCATGTGCAGGCTCCGAAAAAGCTTCTGGTATAGAATCTATGCTACAATAGCTAGGCAAGAAATAACAGCCTAAGCAGTCAAAATGATCTTTCCAACATGAGCGCTCGATTCCAAAAGTTCATGCCCTTTGCACGCATCGCCCAGTGGAAAAGAGGAGTGTACGACGGGCTTCACCTTTCCGGATTCTACCTCAGGCCATACATGCTTCAGCACTTCTGCAACTATGTCACTTTTCTGCTCTAAGGATCTACTGCGCAATCCTGCACCTGCTTGTCATCCAATGAACAGACACGGAAATCACACATGGGTGAGACGTACAGAAAAATATCTCCGTCCAGCTGATGTAATGCAACGCCCGAGAAATAATAAGGTGCAAAGACGTGGAGCAGAAACTGTGAGTTTACCATATCAATGATGAAACACTCCTACAAGTAAAGGGCCAAAATTCATCCGAAACTTCTTGAAGCTGATGTCGAAAAGATTCAAGATGTGATGACGACAACAATACCTTGTACTGTTAGTCGTTTCAGCATCACGGGAGCCAAGTTTACTTGCCCGGCTGCGCCTCCCATGAATCCAATGATAAAAAGTCTCCCATCCACAGACAGTGCATCTACATTCTTCTGAAAGTAAGATGCTCCGATATGATCGAGTATAACATTAACACCTGTAGCACCAAGAAGGGAAAAAATTCTCAAGCTTTATTCATGAAGAAAGGTTTGTTCAGGAAGCGTTAGAATCCTGTTTAACAGATTGCTTCTCACGATGAAAAGTTGCCGACCATCAGAGGCCCTCAACATGTCTCAATTATACGGAAAAGTAAAAGGTAGAGAGATAACCTTTGTTCCCGGTTTCCTCCTTAACGACTTGGACAAAATCTTGCTCTTTGTAGTTGATGACTACGTCTGCACCTAGCTTCCTGCAACAGTCTGCTTTCTCCTGGTTTCCTGCTCGTCAGCAGAAACAAATTCGCTTCAGATGTCGGAGGGTCTGAGACTACTTGCAAAACGAAATCATTCTGACCATAACTGCTTTGCTCAAGATCCGAAAGTTCTGGACAATGTCCTAACCCAGCGTGACCAGATTCCGAATTCCAAAAACATTGTACTTCCATCAGTATGAAGCTTTATATTTGGAATAGCCCAGGAGCTCGCATCGCATGCAAAATTGGGCAGGTCAAAGGCCGAACTGCAACTGGGTATGTGCACGTGAACAATCTAGGTGCGAGTGGAAGTCAAATACTGTGAGTCTTTGTGAAAGTAGAGCAACACAAATCCTCAAACAAACAAGAAAATTAACTATAAATGTAAATGTAGTACCAATCAGAGTACATAGAGGGTTATCTTCTTCCCGCAGAGAAAGAAAGAACAGCAAGGGCTGACGGAAATCTTGGCCAAGAATCTCAGAATGACATGCGACAGGGACCGTGCCTTCTTCTGTCTAGACCTCATCGTCTCCTGACTGCGAGAAATAGTGATGAAAACTACTTGACTAAAATGTCAAGATTAAAGACCTAAGTACACAAGTCCAAGACCAGACCTTTTAGACTGGTCATTTCGAATTCTAGATTATCATGGCTGCGGCACAATCATGATCTTCAACACTGATTACGACGATAATAAAATCCGATGAATAAATGTGATAGAAAAAACTGGACCAACGAGTGGAAATTAAAATTAAAATTAAAAGTTGTGAGCTCTTTTCACACGTTTTGGACCTACCCACGGTGCAGAATACTTTGGCTCCCTTTGCTTTGGCTATCTGAATTGCAAAAGTTCCTATACCGCTCGAACCTCCATGCACCTGCATTGTTCTGACGTAGTTAGGCACAAACTTCGGACGAGTGTATGAGATAAAGCAGCTACAAATTGTACACCGAATCAACAGCTCATGACGACCAATACAATGGTAATGTGAACATTCTATTCCGCCGGTGCATTTGAACCTGTTCGATTATCAGGCAACCTTTGTCGAAATCTGATCACTCTACCTCTTCTCATGTTCGTCCAAAAACAACAAACAGATTGATTACAGCCCGAATCACCTGAATCGATTCTGTACGTAGGATGAAAGATCTTGTAGTATGCCAAGCTTGACTATGTCCAGCCTTAGAACTGGGCTCTCTGGCACTGGTGGTCGTTGGGATTCGTCCACCTCCCGAGAACGAGAAGAACTCAAAGGCGAGTTAATGCCAAGGGGAAAAGAAGACCTACCAAGAAACTCTCACCAGCAGTGAGCTTGGAAGTCATGAAAACGGTAGACCAGACGGTGCAAGAGACCTCGGGCAGAGCTGCGGCATGTAGCAGAGAAACTCCTTTCGGAACTGGCAGAACCTGGCCCTCAGGAACATTGATCTTCTCGGCATATCCTCCGCCTGCGAGTAACGCACAGACCTGCCCTAGACCGTGTTCGAAATGAGCACAGAGCTTTCACACGACCAAACTGAGAAATCGAGAGGTTCGGAGAATTTGGGGTGCCAATCTCGAGACAGATCACGGAAACCGCCACCCGAAGACTGCACGAGAGCAGAACAGAGCAGAGCAGAGCATACCTCGTCTCCGACCTTCCACCTCTGGACGCGGTCACCGACTGCCTCGACGACGCCGGAACACTCCAAGCCCGGATACAACGAGGCGCCGGCGGGCGGCGGATACTTCCCTTGCCGCTGCAGAGTGTCGGCTCGATTCACTGCGGTCGCCGCCACTTTGATCAGAACTTCGCTCGAGCCCAGACTCGGCTCCTCGACATCTTTCAGCTGCAGAACGTCGGGGCCTCCGGGCTGCGTGATCACTACGGCCTTCATGTTTCCCACCGTCTTGCGCATCCACTGGCTCGCGCTCCTCAATCCTCCTGCACTCCGCATTCTCTGTTCCAATCCGATCCCGTCCCCCGATCGATCGCTTGATCGATCGATCGATCTTTCCAGCTCCTCTCGCAATCGAAGCTCGCGTGCATGCACTTCCCCGCGCCCTCGACCCCTCGACCCCACGCACGGATCGAGCTTCGCTTTACAACTCGGACAGCCCGCGTCTGCGTTCGACACGTCACGAGCTCCTGCCCCAGCAGTTTCGGACTTTCGTTTTCACATTGGTCTGTTTCGAAATAGCAAATAGCGAGACAATTGCCATTCAGCTCGACATGAAAATTCTGGATTCAATTCTGGACTGAAGCGAGCACATCTGTACATTCTAGAACTCAATATGGGCTGGATATATTATTTCTTTCTACGGTCAAATCATTGTGGTACACGGATGTGCTACTATCCACCCCTCTCTATCACTTGGAAAGGTAGGTGAAATTTTGCAGCATGTTTGAAGTTGGATAGTTTATATCATAATGCATCCAAGTTAAGGTTTAATATTCTTCTCTCCTGTCAAGAAATGTGGATGTGTCGAGCAATTTTGACAAGATAACAAAAAATGAACTTCTCTAGAGAGACGCGGACATAGATGTAAGATGGTTCACAAATAATATGTTCATTGCAGCAAGTAGACTTGCCGCATTTAATAATATAGTAGGAAGGCCAAAACCCTAAAGATCATCACCAGCTGCATAAACCTACCGTAAACGGTTTCAGGGTGTATTCTACCCACTTCAGTTATTGATAACAATTTACTTTTAACACGTGTGAGTGGAGCAATAAATTTATTCGCTTAAATACTTATTCAACGGAAATTATTAGAAAGAAACCTAAAAATTTTACTCTTTTAACAAGAGCCTACTATAACTAAACTGTATAGAGTAAAAATATGTAGAAGTAACTAAAGTATACTAGTAAACTCTATTTATGCTACTCATGTCAAATTTCCATAGTAATATCATGTCAATATTGACTAGTTTAATATTTTTATCAAAAATTGCACATCTAATAAAATATTTGAAATCTATGTATTTTAATGTACTTTGACTATCAAATTAAAGATGGATAATCTCATTTTTCAATCTCATCATAATGATAAAACTATTCAACCAAATAACTTCTTTTGTAAATTGAGCTACTAAGATAGATTTTCAACTAATGTATCTATCACTACGAAGTATAAACATTTCTCAGGTGTAAATTTACTTTAGTTTAGATTTTGTCCATAATCAGCATCAAGGTAGAATAATAAAGATTTGGCATTATTTAGTAAGTCATCAAACAATAACTCAAAATCAATTTCACTGCCTCCTAATGCAACTTACATGAATTTGATATGTAGTTGATTCAACCATAGCTTTTTCTTCCTCAAATCTCTATGAATATATACATAACTAGTATACTTTTGGACATATCCAAATCTTTTATCTTGAATGTTGACTTCAATTGATTCTTGTATTTGTAAACGAAGAATTGATTTTTTGACTATATGAGCATGTCTACCACATAAAGCACTAAAATAATAAGATTGAAATCTCATCATTCATTTTTCTCATATATACACAAAGATCATACACACTTTATGAAAATTGCTGATATGATTTTCATCTATTTTCTATACTTTTAACAAAAATTGCTTGTGCTTCAGGATAAAACTATTACTTTTTGACAATACATTCATTGATTTCATATGTCACTGAAGCTTCAAATGAGTTATTTTTTCCTACCATACATCCATTGTTATCATGTGACATCGAATCTTTATTTCGTTAATCTCCAGTGTGGTATTCAATCAAGTGAGTACATGTCATGACCATAGAATTGTCTTTTTATTCAACATGTGGAATGTAAGACTAGGAGTATTGCTATGATATTCATTTATTTGTTACTTTCAAACTTAGCCGCATGTAGAAGTGTATCAATAAACTTTTAAATGATTTATTCTATTAAATTTTTAAATTATTTTGATTTTTATCATGTATGTGAGGATGTGTCTATTTTTTAGAAAAATACACATTGCAGTATCAAATATCACACTTCAAAATATTTGCAGATTTTGGAAGCTATGGATAAAAGTATTACTCCATGGTTGATAATTCTGGTATACTTTTCATGGTACAATAACAAATAATATTAGTATGAGATCACTTTAGGTTCACATTTCAAATCATTTGTTGTCAATTACAAGATAGAACTAGTTTTTCAAGACATAGAGCAATAAGTTTCATTTTTATATGTCTTCAATCCATGTGACAATGATTTCATCATAAATATATTATGAATTTCAATATCTTGTTTCAATGTTAAATATTTCAATATGAAATATGAAATTTTACTTTGAATATCACAATGACAACTTTGCTAATGTTAAATTAGCTAGAATTTATTAACAATAAATGTAATATTATATTTTTTAAAAAATTATTAATATTTTCAATCATTATTTTCAGTAATATAAAATTCAAGATTAATATGTTATATCTGATATTTTTCATAATCTTGTAGATATCAAGAGTATGAAAAATATCAAAATTGATGTTTCAATTTTAAACAAATGATTCAAGAAATTTAATTTATGATCACTTGCAAACAAGAAAAATTCTATGATGTTTCTTATAATATTTTTATAGTTAGATATCATACTTTGTTAAAATAATGAGTTAATTTCAATTTTAACAATTAGATTTTGAAGACGTATTAAAATAAATAAAAGTAAATCTTGTTATTACATAAAGATTGTGCATAAGTATTTGCGACTTTTTTTTTTAAGTGTCTTAAAAATTATATATTTGTTGATGTGTATATATCTGTCAATGGAAGAATATTTGAAAATTATGTTGCTAATATAATCACATGATTGTAATATTTTTACTAAAAAGTGAGTATATAAAATGAAACAAACTTAAACTTGCATGGAATGATTCTACATCAAATGCACTCAATTTATATAAATTGACCAAGCTCTCCCCCCACATACATGTCCAATTTTTCATTGACATAAATAAAAAATTGAAATGATAATGAGCATGCCTCTGTACATTATGCATTCTAAAAATAGATGCATAATATTACTATTTCAAATGTCTTGAATCCATAATCTCAAAATTGTTTCTCGAGTAGTTTCAGAACAAAAAATTTCCAAATGGTTGGAACAGCAAAATGATTGAACGCGGTGCCAACGCGCATGACACCTTTCAATTCGTCGCATCAATAGGAATATGGTCTTCAGATTTCAGAACGAAATGCTGCCACAAGTCAGGTAATTGCAATTGTATAGAGTTATTGTATAGCATTTGGTCGGGAGAGCAAAATTGATGCAAAACATCATAAAGCGACCACAAAGAAGACATTTGGTCCAACATTTGTCTCGAAAACTACCGCATTCATTTCAAAAGCGAGCACCCAATTTTTTGGAAAGAGTATCAAGCACTATGTAAAGAAAGTAAGCTTATTTTCTTTGACATTGAACTACACTTCATGAACAGAATCTTGTCACATCTAGACCGAGATACCAACCATGTAACCTACAGCAATAGTTGAGGTCATCATCGAAGAAATGTTATGGGATCTTGAAGATTTTGAAGATCAAATCTATGAGAACGCAATGCGCGTATTCTCGCTAGATACTCACACATGTAACTATTTTGTGACTATCAAAACTCCAATGACATACCAATTTGCATTTAAGTACATTGACATTGGTATTAGTCTCAATCAGACTGCGTCTCCTTTGTTCTTTGAAGCGCCACAGTTGGCGCTTCAAGCAACAAAGTAAGTTGTCATGGTCTTCAAACTAGGTGGGATGAACAATTTGAAAATTGTTACATTTGTACATGTCCAATGCGTTGCCAGATTTTAGATCATTTTTAGTATTTTATGCATGATGTGGATGTTTTCAATCGTGCTTGATAACTCAACTTGCATGAATATTTCATACATAAATATTTATGCTCGTTTTATTTAGCGACGTTAGTTTTATAATTTGTATCTTATATCAATTTTGTTTTACAAACCTCATACTGATTTGTCGTAGTTTGAAATTCTATGCAAATATTTGATGTACTCTCTCCTATTTGGAGAAATCAATTAAATGATGCATACCTAGATGGAGCTCAAAACATAGATGGAGCTCAAAACATGACAGGTCATCTTGTAAGTGTTATCACGCATCATCAACAATGTTCACTGGAAGAAAGGATTCATTTGTGTGTGGTGTATTCTACATCAATTAGACATTTCGCTACATGAAGCATATCCGAAGCTGGATGGAGATGCATGATATGCAAGTATCTATGATCTCGCACGTGCGTCGACAACAGAAGCTTATTTCCAAAATGAAATCAACTTGTCCCAAGACATTTGCGACTAAATGGCACGCCATGTTTAATGCCACAAACTAGCTCGATCATCATCATCACGAAATTAGTGTACATTATTTTGAAATTCCAGTGAAATCTTTTCAGTGTGCATCTCAACCTGAAAGTGATATCTGGTGGATTTTAAACGTTGTTACAAAGAGCATCACACTAGCTACACATGAGACGGTGATGTGATTCCAAGGTCATCGATTGACGTTTAACCAACAACAAACACGTATTGAGCTACTAATTGATGAGTTATTGTTCAAGATCAGTGCAATTCGCAATTTCAAGTTTGAAAATGTGGCCAAATTCACTTATGTCATCTGCAACAATTGGTCTGCTTTCTATATTGACATCAGTGACTTCATTGAAGATTTTGGACATAATCCTTTGACTACAATCAAGACTCTAAGTGAATAAATTCGGCAAGTACTTCTTCGTGACGTTGCTTTCCTTATATTTGACATTGTCAATGGATTTATGTATTGCGTAGCATTGCGAGATGAACGCAAGTCAACTAGTGATTTGAACTGTCCACTCCGTGTATTCTTTTGAATTAGTGAAAATTAAAGGTTGTGATATCAGCGCTTTATTATCCAACAAAAGTTTCGTCTTGATTGTAGTTGATCTCCCTCCAAGCGTGTAGCCATACTCCCAAATTAGCATAGGCTCGCCTTGAAAAGTCATTTTCTTCCGTGTATGTCTTGATATATAAAAAACATATTTTTTCAGTGTATGTATTGATTACAGTGTAATGAGTATTGACTGATGATTGATTAGAGTCGTATGTTGGTCTCTCCTAACCTCCATGGCAGACGCTTGAATGTATCAATCATTTGGTCAAAATTGTAGCAGTTTTACGTCCGGAGCTCGCATTCAATGAGAATCAGCAGTAGGTTTTCTAGTCGCTGTGACCCCATCAAAGTGCTTAGATGATTTAGGATGTTGGGCCCTTGGCAGATCTAGCACAGGCCTAGGCACTCAGGCCAATCCTAGCCTATGCAGCACCTATGTGTGACTACGTCGTCACTACAACACTGTCTACGTCTGAAATTGACAAAATTGGGTATGAATTTGCAGAGTACCATGTCCGAAAATGTCTCGACTTGTAAGGAAGTCATAGAGTACTATCATGATTGACGATGTGTGATCACTAGCATGTTTATCTGGCTGTTTCAATTATCTAGTATATCTTGTCGGCGGACTAGGTTCACAGTTTCTAAATACAGCGCCTGTCGAGAGTGACTTCTCAATGTTGAATTTAGGAATTACGTTTTTAACATGTCACAGTCTAATTTTTCTCTAAAAATATGTCTCCAATATAAACAGTATATATAAACAGTACGATATGTTGTGCACCTTGAAGCAATAAAAGAGGGAGACTATGTTTTCTGAGAGAATTCTTGCTTCAAATACATGCAAGATTCATTCCTGTGGTTCTACGTAATCTCGTCGATCTGTTGTCCATTACATTTAGTTCATAGAGACCGAGATTGAGAGTCATTAAGATAGTGGGGACTGTATAAGGGCTAGATATATATCAGATGAGTTCTTGGAGTGGATCTTGCTGAGGCCCCAAACTTGGAATTCAGTCAAACTGGAAATAGATCCACTACCGTTTGATGCTATCAGGAACGGGGTTGAGAGAAATTTACTTACATCTGAAATTTCTTGTGTCGAGTTATTTCTGTGAGAAGTTTTGGTTGAAGTTGATAGAATGAGTATCCCATAGAATAATTTTTCTGAAAGATCTTGCTGAAATTGAATCATTACTCTGTAAAATTGGATAGAATGTCTGTCTTGGGTTTTTTTTTTAAAGTAAAGTAACGCAACATACCTAGTTTCTTAAAGGATTTGTGACTTATTTGCTTTGATTAGGCACAAAAATAGACATATGATGCCTGATAATGAGTCGTCTCGTTCGGCCAAGGAAAGAAACGTATCATTGTTATTTCTCTCATGAAACATCTGTTACATCATCTCTGCAACAAGAACCTTTGTCTTCCCACGATGTATAAGTTTCTCTACGCTGTTTCGATAGCATGGCATATGAATGTTGCTTTTCTCATGAATGGGAGCTCATCTGACAACCAACATAAAGGGCTCTTTTTCGCCCTTGTCGATCTTTTGGAAGAGAAAGATAACGTTGCTGCTTCTAAAATGGTCTCACACTCCTGGACGATACAGATGTGTAGATCGAACGAATGTAGGCCCCCATCGATGTTGAGAGTATAACTGATGAACAGACTCTGTCATACTGAGCTTTCAAACTAAAATATTTGCACTGACGTCAGGTTTTGTTTCAACGACCCACTTTCATACGATTTGACCTAAGATAAGTAATCTGGTAAAATTAAGATTAGTAGATAGAGAAAAAAAATATGTTTCGTTTGCACAGAGATGGACATAATTAGTGAGATATTGATTGTTTTTTTCTTTTTTTTCTTCTTTTCATTTTCTTCCTGTAAGCTAACTTTTCTATCTACATTTTACTTTCATTCTAGCAGGAAATTTCAGTATGTAACTTTGAAGAATTCATTTTTTGTTCAAAGCGACGAAATTGGTTATAACTTTACGTGTATAATAGTGTTTGCATTCCATCATTTCCGAATATCATTACCCGCCAACCCCGTGAGCTTCTCAACCATTTTCATGACACACCTGGTTACAAGAGCTTTGCTTTCTTTCATTGTGATTATTATAGACAAACAAGTTGGATATTTCTTCGGCCAAGTAGCTCATGGATCTTTTAATCATCAACATAATACACACCCATAACAGGTTCAGATATAACAACCATCATTCATCATCATTCATTCTTTGCATGGTTCATATCATGCCGATAGCAGAAGTCTCACCCACCTCATATCATTTTGAATACACAATCCTCAAGTAGCTAGGTATAATCGACGAAACATTAATACACCAGATGAACCATACTCGCAAGCACGACTAACAACAGCTGTAGTAAAGTTGGGCTCCATTTTCACCTCACCCACTTTTATGGCATTATTTATTTCCAAAGATTACAAGGAGCCAGGACAGACCAAGCTTGACATGAACCAAGAGAATGAGAAAGCTTGAATTATTTCTTGCCAACCAATAAAGGAAGTCAGAAGTATTACTACTGGTCGTCGAATGAAGCGCGGAAGAGAGTTCCACCCAGGGGCCAACCAAGCTGGTACGTGGTGGTGAAGTTGCGCACGCTGAACAAAGCGCGCGATGTAGGAGCTGGCACTTCGATCTTCTTGTAGCCCTGCTCATGCACAGACACCACCACATCGCGTCAGATTTTCCGCGAATGATTCGCTTTTCCAGACAATTCTGCTACACATGCGAACGCTTAACTCCCTGGCCACTCTCGGACCACATCTTTCTATTCTCCGGATCCTTCCATTTTACGTCGACTGTGAGGGAGTGTACACTCCACGGCGAGAATAAAGCTCGCATCTTCGTTCGACTACACGTTCATGCTAGTGCAAAACAATGGAACTTCACAGAAGTCTCCTTTAGATTAGTAGACCTGGTTTCCCAACTACTTCCCCACATCCCCAACTAGTTTTGATTGCAAACATTAAAAAAATAGTTGGGAATGTGATGGGCTCAAAGGGTTCCTTGGACCCTGATTGCCACGGCAAGAGCAGAGTGCAACTTGCTTCTCCAAATCCATGCAGGGAAATCTGATGATTCTTTCACCAGACTAGTCGCTCGTCTTTGATTCTACTGACAAAAGCAGGAGTTTGAGGAGACGACTACTTCTACCAACAGAGTCTACTTCGAGTGGCCACAAAGTTCAGCCTGGCCTCCGTTCCTGACGAGATTCCAGGATGGTGTGAGACTGCTGATCCGTAGAAGAATATAGAAGTATAAGATATTGAGAGGGCTAGAATGGAGAAGTTCAACCCATCAAAGAGACGAGAATATGGTTCAGAACAGTCGATATCATTGTTAATTTCCGCGGGATGACAACACTGAGAAGGTCACCAGCTCCACATTAAGGGTTACTACGGTCAAATTTGTTCTTCCTCTCCGCCGTCTTGGTCTCAAATCTGATTTTTCATTTGACAATGTCGCAAGGAAGCCGTTCAGTCCGACCGTGGGCTTCTGCCACTGCTGAGGAATCTGAGTGGTAAAGAGTTGTTGTGCGATGAAAGGTGAACTAATGAGCAATGTAGGAGGCTCCTGTTGATGGGTCCTGCTTGGCCCGCCGCGTTCGGAATATAGACGCGCTCATTGTGGACATGAATTCGGATCTTGGCATTCTGACTTCACAGAAGTTAACACCTAAACTTCACACGGCCTAAAAGTCCTCACGCGCTCTCTCTCTCTCTCTCTCACCCTTGTCAATCTCCTCCAGCAACTCTGGGCATCTCAGTATCATAAGCTCGTGTTTCTCATTCATAGAGATGAAGATGAATGATGATAGATAAAGAACCCTAACATCCAAGGAGCTCAGAATATCGTTAAAACATATGAATGCGCCACTGCTCCACTGACCCACAATCCCTGACTCGCAGTGACTGTGGCATCCAAAAAATCGGGTTGGATATTCGGCGACTCACCTGACTGAAGAGCAGAAAAATGTATCGATGGGTGCCGATCGGAGGTGCGGGACCCGCATAAGGCTGGATTACGTCACCGACGTCCGTAATTGCTGGAAGAATAAACTCGTCATTAGAAGTCTGAAAATCTTACGTCGGGAACCACTGACGAGTACGTTGTAATGTGCTCAAAGGCAATCCGGGGCTCAACATGACTTCGAGGTACAATGAAGGGAGAATGGGCCTCAAACGAAGCGTTGTCGCTTCTAAATCAACCAATCTACAAGGAACGAGACAGAACGGCAGTCATCGAACCAAAATCATCACCTCGACCATTCGGAGGAAAATGTATGCTTCCGCGCGGCGTTACCTTGACTGCTCTTGATATTGCCGGGAATGTTGGTCACCATCCAATGCAGGATGTTCCTGGCGGTGAAATTCGTGGGACTTCTGGCGTCAGGGTCGACGGTCAGAAGAGTGTAGAAATCATTCTTCTGGACGGCGTCGCCCTTGATCACGACGTGAGGCGCAGCCTGCGTTTGATTCCTGTCGTACAACTTGCCCAGCTTCAATTTCCCGACCGTGCTATTGGTTCTGTAGTACACCTTGACCTGGGCGCTCGGAGCTCCAAAGGAGTCCAGGTATGGAGGAACCACCGTCTCGAGGTCGTTCACTCGCTGGCTCGCGTACTCCACCGCCTCAATCTCGTGCACCATGCACGAGCCCAGAAGCAGCAGCAGCAGCAGCTGCGCTGACACGACAACCTGCCTGGACTGTGAATCGGCCATCATCGCTCCGTTTCTCGGTCGCTCGAATGGATGACAAAATCGACCAGTCTGCATTTGCGATCTGCTACCGTTAGCTGGTCTTCGAATTTAAGCAACCGTAGGCCTGCCCCTCTCCAGCGGTTACAGTCACCCGGTGGCCATCATGGGGGCGCCTGTGTGCCGTGTATAGTGCGGCGACGCATTTCCTTCTTTCTCTTTCTGTATCGGATTTCGGGAGTAGATCCGGGAAAGTACAGGACCTGAGAAAGTTTGTCTTATTAGTCGCATGGCCTTCTGCTCGGAGCTGTGAACCTGGTCTGCAGTAGATTTCCGCCAGATATTTACTTCTCCGAACCCCCGTGATTTCACTTTGTTATCCCGAATTTACTCGTATCTCTCGCTCGCACGAGGTCACTGAACCAGGAGTTCGCTCTCGATAGAAGAGCGCCTTCAAGCTCGATTTAGTAGAATCCGTACATCGCAGTCAGATCCGGGATCGTGTGTTCGATGCTGACATCGGGAGGGAAGATTTCTCGGGGTTGACGAGCCGTGGTTGAAAGTGGTCGCCCGGAACTGCGACTGCAGTCGTCAAGAGGCGAGCATGTTTACACGGTTGTGGAACCCAGTACAGTGGAGCGAGGACTTGCGTGCCCCCCGGAGTTACTTCACATGGAAGGTAAAATGGTCTGCGCCGGGGACCGATGGAGTGAAGCTTCGAGGGTTCCGCTTCCGCCGCCCGCGCGACGCTCGGACGCCGTGGCCTTCTCGTAGTCAATACATTCCGGGCAGCGGGCAGCGGGCGCTTCGAAGCATCACCTGGAGCCGCGAGGACGGGCCCGTGCGCTGGCACCGAGCACCACTCGACGAAGCTTCGTCCGTCTTCTCTGCTTTGTCGTATCATGCGTCATCTCCGAGTCCGTACTGTCCTTGGGTCGTTGTATACGTCCAACGCAGTACGCACGTATTACTTGTACGACGTTCCGGCACGGACCGGCGTGCGCGGTTGCCCCTTAGATTGCAGGAGGTCGATTGACCTGGGCACGGGCTGGTACGTCGTCGGCATGTGCCATCCACGGATCTACACGTGTCTTCTACTTTTCACTGCTAGGGCAAGTCGGACCCTCGACTCTTATCCGCGAGGACTGAGGAAATATAGCCCAAGAGGGGGAAATATCCCATCCAGTCATAGTCATACGTGGATGGGTAGCTAGCCCCCAATGGCATCATTGCGGAGAATATTTACTATTTCACTTATCCAGATAAAGCAAGAGCTTATATGCACGAAGTTACTTGATTTCTTGTTTAATTTAGACTATTGAATACATGTTCTGTGGCATGTTTACAACAACTAGTGATGTGCATGTCCGATCGATCTCTCATTGACTTGTCAAAACTTGATGTCCCTGGTGTCTTACAACTCTAAAATTTGTCATACTGTGACGAATACCACGAGGGACTGGACTTTCAGGGGTAGCGAGCCTTTGGATATAAAAATTATTGGAGGAACAAAATGACCACAACCACAAGAAAAAATTTGGCAAAAATATGTTTGAGGACAGAAACAATATAAGCTGTTTGTGTAATGTCGGTGGTTGCTGTTCCATTGGCTGCACATTCAGGAGTATGGATGAGTTCAACCCTTTTTGAAAATGTGTAGATTCAAAGCTAGTTAAAATAGTTAGAACCTCTAAGCATACCTCTCTACTTGGATATAGTTCCACTCGCGGCCCATATATGGAAATAAATATTTCTACCTTGATTAGTGTCACGCCTCATATTCGTACATAGGTATCATTCTGAAGATGTTACATCTTCAGAATGTACAATGCGTTGACAAATCCAAATAAACATCTGCAGTACAAAAAACGTGTGCATTGACCATTTCCAGATGTATGCCCGATTGGATTGCAGTATCCAGAGATGGTATATTATATGAATATTAAATGCATTGGCTATTCAATTCCTCGCGATCCAGAACGTCTCGAGACAGTGTCCCTGGTACGAGAAGAACGGCAAGGACACACCTCTGCTTTACCAGTTATGTTGAGCAAGGTAAGGCCGGATAGCCAAATGCATAGGAAATAATGGCTGAAAGCATCTACTCTATCCACTGGATATATCTTTCCTTAGTTGGCAGATGCTTTCCAGTACGAGCCCTTGTATAATTTATCACTACAGCCAGGCGGGGGGCTTTCTACACGTCCAAAGGCTCCATTCTCTCTCGGACAGAATATATACTTTTAGAACTCTCCAGTGAAACTAGTGAATACGCTTGCAAACTCCAAACTCGAAATATGAGATATGATGTCTGCAGTTGACATCTCACAAGAAAATTTCCAGAAGTCATGCTCCTTCCTCCTGACTCTGGCCGCCATATTTCACATATTCATCCGATTCCGTCCTTGTACAGCATGTCAGCGTATCAAGAGATCGCTAAGGCGCTCACTGGACATGCTTTCACTAAACAACTGAGGACTTTTGCTCAAGATACTATGAAGAGATTGGGATGGGAGACGAGTCAAGTTACAAATCTCCAAACTGAGGTGGCGTGAGTGAATACCCCGAATAAAGAAAGAGAGTTTGAGGGGTCGTGAGTACGGGCCGTGTACGACAGCGCCTTTCACGTTCTCTAGTCTTCTGCTCCTTAAGCCCTGTCCCTGTTAGTGTGGCCTACGTCCCGAGGCTTGCAGCGTTGCTTCTGAGAAGATGTTGCATAACACCACTTTCGTCCAGCGCCCACTGTACATGGAGATAATTTCTTCCATCTCTTCATCATCGATATGATCAGATAAACTTGCTTCGTTTTCTGGTTGCTTCACAAGAAAGATTTGGTGGATTGGAGACGGATTTATTGTTTTGTTTTATCTATTTGATCTACCAATTGTGAAAAACTTATCATAAATTGCACGTGATTCATTGGACCAGGAATCTAGAACGCTTACTAGGACGTGCAAATCTACCGAAAGCTCCATTTGTTGCTCTCCCTCTCTTCCTGCACCATTTGGAAGATTGGAACAAAGCTGCTATATCAAATTTGCTCGCTCTTTTTTTTCCACCATCACTGCCGAATGTACCTGACTAAATACCAATATTTAAGTGGCATGGGAAATTGCGATAGTAGGGATTGCGATAGAAACATGTGGGCAACAGAAATCTCGAGGTCGGAAAACCCTTTAATATCGCGAAGATGGAACAAAATGCCTCAATACTTTAAACTAAACAATCCTTGAAACCCTTCTCTAAGCTGGCTCGATCCAACTCCCTTCCTATAAAAACAATTTTATTGGTTCTTTCTTCGTGTGTTCCCCAAGCCCTATCGGGTGAACCCTCGAACAGAGCATGCACACCCTGCCAATACAGAAAGTATTATCAGCATAGACGACTTGAAAGTCACAACGCAGTATCAAAATGAACGACAGGGAATGCTTCTGCATATGCGCGACCCAAGCTCAGCTTGAAGAAATTCCTGATATTCACATGTCGAAAGACTAAAAAATGAGACATTTACATGACAGCGATATAAGATGCTCAAGTCAGCGTACGGACCTGGAAAACAAAACGTGAATCAAAACCCTCGATTGACAGAACACCCTTCATCCTGTAAATGTTGTCGCTGTTTTGATCCAAAAGATCCTCCAACCAGGTGTTGATCTGGTTCGCAGACAATCAACCATTAGATAAACGCAACGCCCAAAGATCGTAGCATAAGCAAATGTTCTTCCATAAGAGGCGGACGGATCGGTCTCATACTCAACCTCATCAACAAACATAAATTCATATCTACGTTGAACATTTCCTGACTATGTGAAAGGTCAAAAGCCTAAAGAATATGGAAATTCTCCCGTTTCCTGCCAAACTATAACCCAAATGCAAATGCTTGATTGCAACTCAGAAAAAAGATAAAAAAAGGACCACGATCATACAAAACAAAAAAACCCTAAGGAAATAGCTTTCACTTTTCTTCGAAGATCGATAGTTTTGTTTCCTATCCTGAACAAACTCTTTGCTTTAATCCACTTGGTGCTCCACGACTGGCTACACTACATTGCGGTAACTTTGTACAATGAAACCACACTTCCTAGGTTACATTCTTTCACAAAGGGTTCGTTTGCAACATGATGTTCGAAATTTAATCAGTTGTATATTTGATATAAATACTCGAACGAGACATGAAATTATGAACTTTTGACACGATTGACTAGGGTCTCCTGGCAAGTTACATGTTATCGAGGCAGTAGGTTTTACCTTATCAATGTCCAGATTGCCTCCACAAACGATGCTAACGGACGAAACGCCAGGATCATGTACATGGTCGTGAATATGACCATCTGCGTGGTCATGTCCACAGTCAGGGGCACAGTCAGGGCCATGCTCATGACCATGATTGTGGTCTTCTCCATGGTGATGTTCGTGATGATCTGTATCAGATACAAGACAAAGCACGTCTTGGTGAGGCAGGTGGAGGATCAGATTCCAAGTAGACAATGCACCTGCAGCTTTACGTAAACGTCCGTTGAAGCATAAATTCGAGAAAGATCATGTCACAACGATAAGCAAATAAAGCATACCGTGATCATGGTGTTCGTGATCATGGTGACTGTGATCATGAGTCTCACTTTCCGCTTTCACTTCATCTTCAACTCTACAGGTGGGAAACATTCAGGTAAAGGTCATGTTGGCACGGCTGCTTCAGTATACTAAAAGTTAACGAACATAAGGTGAAGTCAGGAATTATGATACATATTTAATCATAATGCTACTCAACAGAGAGGGGATACGCCACCTAACCTACAAAAATGAAAAGGACATCTCCACAAAAAATGCGTTCGTGAAAGATGAAGTCTACCCACGTACTAATCCGGTTAGACCTGTTTTCCAGTTTGTCGAGTTGATGTGAAATATAAGGAGCGGCAAATTCAATGGTTTTTATCCTCCAGCTTGAAGGCAATGAGGTCTTTCGCCTTACATTGATCACCTTGCCTTTCGCTTAAAAGTACAAGGTAAAGTAAACGAGACTAACTCTATCTTGTCACCACTAACTTCACAACCTCTAGAAACTAGAACCAGATTCCTTCTATCCTCGCCTTTTCTCCAGTAATATTGTAAGATTCAGTGACATTGGTGACACGATGGAGCTGGTTGAGGGCACTCTGCAGGCTTAAGATAGAATCTGAAGCAATCCAGAAAAGGGAGAAGATAGTCCGGGGAAAACTGAACAATCAGAATGGCCACCCATTTTGAAGCAAAAACGCAGAAAGTTTGCGAAAGAAGCACCCGAGAAACGAAACGACATACGACAACTAGGCGCCACACATGCAGCCAGAGTCATTGACCGAGTAGACAAGGCGGAGAACTGGTCATGACACAGCAAAGTCAAAGTGAAACGCAATTAAGGAGAGCCTTTAACCACGCGCACGAAGACTGTCACTCTCCAAATTCGAAATTCCAAGGGGATAAAAGGTCCGGAAACTGAAAGGACAGGAAGATAAGAAAGAGGTTACGCTAGCGGGGAACACAAATGCAAGCAGAAAACTTGTGCAATACAAGAAAATACACATGAACCCAGTCTTTTCTGTGTTATTGCTGCCGTTACATTCTTCAAGTTCCTCTTGAAACCTTGAAGTTCGCATAGTCATACTCTCAGAAAACACAACCCCTGTTAATCTCTTAAGGACTGTCATTAGTTTTGTTAATATAAGAACACAGTCAAGCTAGAGGAGTAGTCATAACGAGTATTTGCCTGTCACTGCTTGCAGACCACAAACCAAGTTGAGCGGTGCTAGAAGTAACAAAACACATGGTAGAAACTAATCCTTGTGTGAGCATATGCGGATTCCAGGATTATCAACATGAGACATTTAGCACCTCAAATAACTAAATAACAATGATTCTTCACTTAGTTTTTAAGGCGAAAAAACTCTGATGAAGTCCTTACTTTTCCAGCTCGTAACCACCAACTCCAATTACGTAGTCCATGTCCACAGTTCCATACGTTGCTCGCTGTACCGTTGCCAGAGCATTTATTCTCTGCCAGGTTGAAGTTCAGCAAATGCACGTAAAATTAGGACCGACTATTACCTTCGCACATGAGAGTAACAATCATGAGCAAAAATTTCTGGCATTTTAAGGCATTTTGTCACTTCTTCCAGGTAAAAATATATGTTACCTTTATCTGTCGCATCAAGGCTTCGATATCCGACTCCGAAACTAAATCTGTCTGCACGACGTCAGTAGCCACATTCAATTACGGCCTATAGTTGAAAGGCAAGCGATTCTCAACAAAAACTACGAAGAAAGAAATTGCGCATGTTACTTACGCAGCTCGCAGATAGAAAACTACCAAATAGGGAAGCAACTATAATGAGAATACTACATTGGAAAGAATAGTCTGCATCTTCTTACAAAAGCATCAGAATCTAGAGTTTCCTAATCCTGTGTACCTTGTTAAGAATTATTCTGTCTGCGTAAGCAATTTGCTCCACAGCTTCATTGACTACGCCTTCGGGTTTGACCTCCTCGATATGCCTCGTAGCATGCTTGGCATCAACCAGAGTGACCACGCCATCCAACCTTACTTGCACAGAGAGTTGTTCCTCCAAGAAAAATGTCTGAATGATTGGTAACGGGTTAGCAAGCCCTGGACAACAAGGAACATCAACTGATCAGATACTGGCACAAAGATGCTTGTTACTGCGCAGACACGCGAATCATACGAAGAGCTTTGTTCTCGAAGCTAGATAAAAGAACATAAAATTCTGCTGGAAAACTTTGATGTCCAACAAGACAGCCATGTGATGCTGAACTTATTCACAACAATATCAGTGTTACAAGATCAACCGCAGGGTCTTAGGCTGCACTAGATAATCATAAAAGATATTCAAACATCAAACATACAGTTACATACCGGTTGTTTCAACTAGAATGTGATCAAACTTGTCTTTCTTCGTCCTCACAAGCTCCGAAAGCATGCGCACAAGATCCCCGCGAACAGTGCAGCAGAGACAGCCATTATTTAACATCACTATATCTTCAGCTCCCGACTTTTGGGCTGCTACGAGGGATCCATCGATATCCACTTCACCAAACTGTAACCAGATTGACAGAAGGAAAGTTAGTCTTGAGTCAGTTAAAAAAACGATGGTTGTCTGATGATTCAATCTTTCAGGAAAAATATGCCTGAAAAAATATGCCTGTTGTAACCATACTGAGCACGTTGCAGATTGAGGTTGCCATCAACTGCAGTTTATATTGTAAGTACATGGTCTCACCTCATTTTCTATCACAGCAATCCGCTTGCCGTGTTTACCAGTGAGAATATGATTCACTAGAGTTGTCTGCACGAACAAACAAGAAAACGCCCACTTTAAATAACGTTCACTAGGCCTTGGCGGATTCGAATACTGCATCCGGTTAGGCTTCTGACGTAGTATCTTCACTGACACAATCCTTTTTGAACTACTACTCGCAAATTGTTTGGGTGAAACCAGACTAAAAGACCGATATCCGAATCACTTTGAAACACTTTGCGCAATAGGTTCATTATGAGAAATCTTGAAAATTTAAATTCACATTATCCAAAAGAAGTGAGCTAAACAACAACAAAAGGAAATATAAATGGAAGCCAAATCAGACCACCAGACCCCCAAAAAAATTTAAGTTGCAAATTCGAAGTAGTTTTAGAGAGTCATTTTCTCCCAACAACTGAGGCGAATCGAAAAATACCTTGCCGGAACCTAAGAAACCAGTAATAACAGTGACAGGTACGCGATCATCTGCACTGCCTGAGTCTTCAACCACCTCAACAGTCGCTTCCCGAACAAGCCCATCATCAAGTTCCGCTTGTTGTGCGGCACCAGCAGCAGCGTAGATTGTCGAAAGGTTTCTACCCCTTGTCTGCTGTGCGACAGACCTGAAAGGTAGGGCTTCGATAGCGAACGTTTTCTCCGGCAAACTCTTCAATTTAGAGTTACTGGTACCCAAATTACACATCACAACCTGCAGTTGCTTCACGGCGGCATTCTTCAACCTGGTCGATGAAACAGAAGGACAAGAATACACCCTTTCCGCTTTCCTACTCAAAACGCTTCCATTCGTTGCCACCCCTGCCACCAATGACGCGCAGGCCCTCTGGCCACAACAAGCGGCTGCAGCCATAGCCATAGCCAAAATTCCTCCACAAAGACCGTGCCTCGATCACCAGCCTGCCACTACGCAACTCCGGCAGCTGTTCATGTAATTGCAAGCGCCTGCCGATGCGTAATGTGCTCGCTCTCGCCCTCTTCTGGAATCCCACACACAACTCAAACCCAAACCCAGGCAAGTCTGCAAAACCCCCACGACTCTCTCTCAAGTCTGCCGAGGCTCACCCTCCCCGACGCAGGCAGGCTCTCTCTGCACCCAATCCCCGAGACACAATTGGATATGGAGCGGCCATGTGACATGTCATTCATCACATCTTCTGGTGATGATTACGGAGCCAGTTTACTTCCCGTGCACCAACATTACGACCACTTAAACAAGGAGACCTGTCGTGCCCAGTATTCTTCTTATTTCGCTTCTTCTCTTACGCAGTTTAAGTATTAATTTGCTGTTTTGACAAGCCAACTCACAATTTTCCTCACGAAGTCACCGAGAGGCAATATGAGTGTTATCAAACCAGTACAATAACTAGTTTTCCCCCACATTAAACGAGGACATAACTCCAAAATAACAGCATATTAATAATTAAACTGCGTAACCTTTCAGTGAATTCGTGAGTAAAATTGTGACCAGAGTCTCGGCTTGTCAAATCTGCACGCATGCTTTGACCTCGATTAATACTTTCTTACGCTGCTTCCTGTTGGCTTTTGTTTCTGACGGAGGAGAACCCGCGAATGCTGACGGTTTTATATCCACAGAGGCCGAGGTCAGAAGTTCACGTCCTTCGGCGAGAGCCTTGTAGAACCATTCAGACGGAGTTGCTGTTAATAAAGGGAAATAAATTGCTCTGAATGTTCGGATATGCCATGACTTCGGAATTTTTGACAGCAATTTGTTTCAGTCTAATTATTAAAGAAGTGGAAGTGAACAATGATTTGGTCACCTAGCTGACTTCATGTCTTCTTTAGTACCAAGAGATCGATGAAATTATATCCAGATGAAATTTTGGAAATATATTATTCTCCATTTCTGCATGGAGAGATAAATTTAAAAGCTTCGGTGAACTTTATTGAGACAAGGCTGATATCTTGGTATTTGGAAAACGACAATATAAAGAGGCTGGAAAGTTGCATGACGATGCATTTAACATTCCGGATCTATATCGCCAACTCGGATTGCCTTGAGACTGAAAGAACAAAAGGTTGACATCTCACCACTATTATACTCTCCTCGAGTTGTCCTCCTACTTGAAGATAGGATCTCCATTCGATCATGGCATCGTGACTTCATAGCTGCTAAAAATTTGATAAATGTTCACTTGATTTTACAAACTTTTTCTGTGCCTTGGCTGGCTAGATATCTACTGGATTCAAGTTATTATTGCTATTCTACATTCATGTTTGGTGACATCATAGTACCAAGTAAGCCGGAGTGCGCTAAGATACATGTACTTCTTTTTTGAAATTTTATGTAGATGTATGTTTATTGTCGATGGATGCAAATTCATCAATGCTGTGTATTTTTTCAAAAACTTAAATAATCAACAATATCTTGCTGTGGGTCCAAATCAATATTGACAAGCATTTCCGATATATTTAAGGTTTAGTTAGTCTACGTCCGTGCAATGCATTAGTTCTGAAACAAAAACATTTTATTATATCTCAAAGATCTCATTTTAACAACTTCAAATCAATCTAGTCAACTAATTTAATCAATCCTTCTCAAAATAACTAGATGAAATCAAGATTTGAATAAAAAAAATGAAAACAGTTGAATCATTTATTGTCATAAATTGATTATATAAAGATCTCACAATATTTTAAAAAAAATTAGGTAGAAATTTCAATATAAATATTATATATGAATCCTATGTTTAAAATTATTATTCTTTTGAAATAAGACGATTCACAAAAAAAACTTAATTCAGTCGCAAATATATTAATAGATTTCAAATTATGTTTTTGAAAAATATTATACAAAAAAATTCAATTTTTAATATATAATAAAAAGGTATTCACATAAAGCAGATACGTTTGTTTTAGTTTGAAATTTTTAACTTCCAAATTTTTTTATTATAATAGTTTTTAAATTCATTGGATAAATTTCTTATTGCCAAGTAAAAACTATTTCCAATATAAATTTATTTTATTTTTATTTTTTATATGTGTATAATTCATATATATGTATATATATATTAATGATTAATTTAAACTATTATATATTGCATTTAGATCTAGATTGCAAGATTAATTGTGATTATGCAAAAATAATATTAAATCAAATTACAACACTCCAGCATTCATCACGCAATTTGCAATAGTAATTAATTTTACATAAACATAATGATATATTCAACTAAAATCCTATAATTATATCTTATTCATATTTTCATTTTTAAAATCACAAGCTAAGAAAATAAATGATGACCTTTATTTTTCATTATGAACAGCTAATTAAAGTATAATAAAAATGTTATATCCTTGATTTTAGTTAAACTATATACATTCACAATATGAAATTAATTGCAACATTTTTTTAAGTGATGATAATATTACAAACTATTTACTAGAAATCATATTTCAAATATACTACAAAATATATCTTGTTTTAAATTAGAATAGACTTATTAAATAAAATTATGGAATAATTCTATGTTATCTTGGAAATTTTACAATAATAGAGGTATAAACAAATATGTCATTAATAGTAATAAATTGAAACAGTTTCATATTTGAATTTAGAAAATAATTATCAATATCAAATAATTTTCTATGCAAGTAAAAATATGTTTAAACCAATCATTTATTTACATCATTCATGATATTTTGCATAATGATTCAGTGTACGTATATATTAAATGTCAAGTGTATTATATTGATCATATTATACACATTTTTCACGTATACATACAATTTTGATCCAACTTATTTTGTTTTCATGAACTTTATAATCTTCAATTTATATAATGATTTCAAACATTTACAAATCAATTATGAAAATAAAAGAACTTATCAAATTAAAGTTGATGTGTAATGTAAATATTATACTAAAAAAATCCATAGAAGATTATTAAAAGTACATTAATTTGATCCACAATCATACTAAATAAAGCAATAAGTCAACAAGATAAATCGATTGTAGCAAATTTCACTACAAGTAAAATAAGTCTTTCAAATATTATTTTTTATAGGTCTAAAAAAAAAAGCTTAAAAAAATATATTTTTATCATTTATAAAAGTGTACTTCAATTCTTTACATTCACTTGTTATAAATCAAAGGTTGATTACTTCATATCTTCATTTATTCTCACATGTTGTTATCAATAGTTTATCAATAATAAAGATTAACAAAGGTTTGAACTTCTTCATTAAAAAAATATTAAATTTTATTTCAAGATCTACTGTAACACTAGGATTTAGAGAGAAGTTCTCTCGAGGGATGTCAACAATGGTTCTTTTCTTCTATATATAGCTCTCACCAACAAGTACAAGGAGATAAGACCTGATACTCACCACTCATCTCACTTCTAGTGGCGTATGACCCTAACAAGCACACGGATTGCTGACGTGGCACTCCCAACTAACACACTAACTAACACACTCAATCCTCACCTAACAAGCACACGGATCGCTGACGTGGCACTAACAACTAACACATCTACTCTCTACCTACCAAGCGCGCGGATCACTCACATGGCAGCTATAACCAGTGCAACATTTAGAGTAAGCTCTACTTTAGTTCTAACTAACTAAAGATGGTTACAACACACTCAAATATATCACAGTTGTAACACTCATTTCCTCAACATCAATTGATGATTCAAATAAATGTAGGCGACAACTCAAACCAATGCTCATAAATCCACCCCGGTCCTCGACATGACCACCAAATTGCTTTGTGATGATCAAATCTCCAACAGACTTCAAATTTTCATCAAGTAGCCAAATCCACAACCGACATCATGATCGCACTAAACTACTCTAGTCCTACTAGCTATGGGGTATGGGTAACCTAACCTGCCACCATTGCAAGAAGACTCTCACAGTCTACTGATCATCACTCAAGTTTCATCGTGAAAAAAAAGAAGATAGATCGGCCGATGATCAAGTCAACTGCACTATCGACTGCACACATGAGTAAAACCACTTCGGAAACCAGCATCAACTCCTACACGGGCGCGCACCAAGAAACAAGACTAAAAGTATCCAAACATTAGCAACACATCACAACACAACACTAGTAAAAGAAACACATCACAACACAACACACACGAGACATCGCATCGTATAACAATTCCGATTTGATCTCTATCGCCTCATATCATCTTCCGCCTACGACGCCTACAATGCTACCTCGTTCATCCCAAAGAGGAATTTTACGCTGTGATGTCACACTCCACTTCAACGAACACACTAAAGAATGAAAGCTTAATAATTCAGACCACGTCATACATGTATAAATACAATGATTTCAAAACCTCAAACCTATAGTGTATGAAAACGAATGTAAACTCTCGATACCTTCAGAACTAACCTCTTTACTTTTTTTCTTTTTTCTTTTTTTCTTTCTTTTCACAACTTAAAATTATGTGATTGGACAATCATAGCAAATTGCATATGTACTTTGGCATTCTGGAATTTGACTTGTCAAAGCAACATTGCGTAACTATCACAAATGTTCAAAATCTTCTATTTTAAACTGTATGCTAGACCAACTAGACTACAAGACTGAAACTACATTTTAGTATCACTTCCACTTGCACCTTTGTATGTGTGGAGAACAATGTGCTAGAGTATAATGATCAGCTAGCTCTAGACCTTCTAGTTTTAAAATAAAGAGTGAATAGATATCTAAATACTGTATACTAATCTGAATTATTAAGATGTGAACATAACTTCACTTACGTGTACCTATGTATGTGAAAGAGTCATGCAATCCTAAGGATCATTAACTCTCCGCACTGTGGCCGTCACCTTTTAAGCTGTCTATTCTTCTTCCACCTAGCTTATTACATAAAAAAAATTCACTACTTCTTCACACCTTTCTTTTCCTTGTTTGCATATGCTCCAACTTTATCAAAGAAGCCAGCTCTAGCTTCCTTTACATTACTCTCCTACATACATTCCTCAGCTACATATCTACTAACTTCATTGCTTCTACTTTATCAATTCAAACACTACCACTATGAGCATTATTTTTGAAGCTAAAAATCAACTAGTAACACATTGATGATAACCGGATTGAAGTACATACAAACAAACAAGTCATGGCCACTGCGAAATCAAAGATGATCAACCATAGAGGCCTTGAGAACCAGACA